ACCACTTCGCCCGCAAAAGTTCTTTATCAGACACAAGTTCAAGGGGAACCGGTCCATAGTAGAAGTACCGAAAGTCAGAGAGTTAGTTAGTTGCCGTATTGATTAAGTCATACCGCAGTGCTCTCCACTATCTCTACATGTTGTCCAGGCCCGGGCATGACTGGTACTCGCCCGAAAGAGACGGCGGAGCCCTGTCATTGATGGGTTGTGTTGCCACGTTGGCTCGTGTTTTTTCGGAGACACGAATTCCGGGGGCAACATCTCGCATTCCTTGTCCAAGCTCAAGCTTCGATCTCGGAGCCCAACGACTATCGACCGAAGCTAGCATTTCTTCCTTCGAGCTTCACGTCCCCAGGATGCCTAAAGACGTCTCCTTCGCCCTCACCAATCGGGCTTTCTGATCCTACTACCTTAACAGTTTAGCGCACCAGATCTGATCAAGTTTCGGAGCTCGTCTGAACAAGTGACAATCACGTAAGTCAAATGTCGACATTACTCGATGTACGGAGTAGTTCTTGCAACAACTCCTTTTGATATCGTCCGAGTGGCTTTCGGCGGTTCCTTATCCCGTAGAGCGACGGCTCTGCCCCATATTTGTGTTCTCTGAACCTCGTGATTTCACAGTTACTGCCACGAAACATCACGTAGCCATAGAGTAATACTTAAATTCACTTCACTCTTGTCTACAACCAAATCATCCGTTCTTGCAGCCACCTATAGTTCGGAAGGTCAAGCACTTCCTCGATGTGTGAAGAGCTCGCCGTAAGCGTCGCCGAGCACAACAACACCCCACTCTCATCGATGATGAAGTACGCACTCCGTACACCCTGAGGGAGAACCCACTTGCACACTTTCGAGTAACATGAACCTATGACAAATTTCTGCCTGTCAACTTGAAATGCATGTCAGCTTCAGCGCACCACATTGCCTCTAAAGCAGTAGACGACCATGATCACGTTTTCGATCATGGCTTTATGTCAGTCCCTACAGTACAATTGTTCCCGCACCATTAAGGGCGTCGGTCCAATACCAGATAAACTATAGTCAGCTGCTCACAGTCCTTTTTCGCACCCGTCCGCGGACTCGCCGCTAGGCTTGCATTGCAGGCTCTCCGTTCTGCGGAGGAATATTCCCACTGCTGGCGCGCCGCCCACCTTGCGGATCGACACTGCCAGACCCGGCGACGTAGCTCGTATCAACCAACTAGTTACGCTATTATGACGAGGCTGAGAGAGTTCTGGCTTTCATGTCGTCGGGCCCGATCTTCACATGGCTCAGACGGGCTTGTTTCGTTGAACCTAATGTGCAGTTACGTATTAGTTGCCTCGTGCGTCTAATCAAAGGATACTTTTTACTACGTACACCAAAAATTCATGCAGAGCGCCCGTAGGTGCCCGATAACGCAAAGTTTCAGGACCCAGATCTCTGGGCCATGTCAACAACTCCCGAGCTCCAGGTGTGGAGCCAAGAAAGCGCCAAAAGAGCAAGTTGGTGCATGGTCCGGCCGTGGTTGCAGTTGAGCTGCAGGTGAGAAAGCTAACTTCTTTACGCTTTCTAAACGCTGCTAGCGCCTCTAGGTATGCCGAGGGCTCGGGTAAGTGTGCTGTCGCTGGTGAACGGTCGGTTAGGGGCAGGGCGCGGCCTCAAGTCCGCTCCAGACGCCTAAGTCCATGTGCTCTGCAGATTGACAGCTGCGGGTTTGCTGCACACTCCCTGCATGGCACCGGAACGAGATGGCTGGTGCAGTACACAATACTCCGTACATCTTGGGGGTTTCATAACTCAATCATAAACGGCGGTCAGGCATCGGAGAGAATACAGGCATTCCCCATCACAAGCCGTCATTGGCTCGTGGATCTGCCTTGACCATGTCGAGGATGACGAAGAAACCCGGGCTGCGTGCAAATAGTATACGAGGTACTCCTGACGGGCCCCCAAGAGCATTTGCGTGAGTTTGGTAGAGCCCGTCCTGTCAAGCTAGTGTAACTTCTCAACCATGGTGCCGGGACCTCTTGGAGCACTTAGGCCTGGATTTCGGGAAAGCTTGAGCCGCACATTAACGGCATCTACTGTGTAGGGTGATGGTATTTTCTGTCTGCGTCGTCACAGTATCAAGAGACTCTGACATGGAACACACCTAATGCCGCTGTCAAGTTCGCCCAACTGTAGAGGACGGCAGCGCCGCCCTGCCTGCGTTATGGAAGCTCCAAAGGCCCAAGTACATACGAGTACCTTCCCCAAGCACCAGAGCGCCGGGGCAATCTTGGGACCACCCAAGTCGACGAGTCGAACAAACAGCGCCACATGCACTGGTGTACCGCCCACGGGCAACGCCGTGCATTCCACACCGCATTGTCTGCAAGCTTTGGACCCGTGACTTCCCAGGGGCCTGAGTGAGGACACGGAGTCCTTCGTAACTCTACGGACTGCATACCTCGTGCTGCTGTGCAACTTTGCGACTTCCCGATAGCTGCAGACAGAACTGCCGCGGAACAGATGTGCATGATGTCGGGGTCCAACTTCCGAGTCAGTACTCCGTAACTGCACTGTGTAAACATAATTGCTTCGCCCACGGAGTTCGATATCGACATCAGCATTGACCTTTCGTCGCTTGTAAGCTTCCTATGACTGTGCTTGCTCGCATGCGACTCCGATCACCCAGCTCTTGGAGAGTTTCGAAGAGAGATGAATGCGGCAGTGGGTGTTCCGAGCCAAGGCGTCACTCTTTACGGATTTCAGCGAACATCATAAACAACCGGTAAGGTTCACTGCTGGGCTGACGACGTGCTCACGGTCAATACGAGGTATCTTCACTGCTCGTACCTCAGGGTCCACTCGAAGGCTTCGACTGCAGCCATACTGTACTGTGATATGCCAATAAACGCAGAGTCGAAATGCAAGCCGAGGATTTCGAGGCCATGCTTGGAAAGAATCTTCATGTTCCGGGTGGATTGCCGCTGCGCTGGATTCACTACGTCGAGGCTGTGACAATATGCGGTCTCGATCCGAGCGGCCACCATGAGTAAGTGATACAGTGGATTCTTCCTCTCGAAGAGAGTCCTCCACAATCTACAGTGCCGCCACTTGATATTGTCAAGTTGACATTGATTGCGACACCACTGCGTTCTCACCGTCCTGCTGTCGAAACAGCCTTGCCCTCGGGATCTCCCGCCTTGTTCAGAAGACCAAATGCGCTCACTCAAACGCCCCAATCTCTTGAATTCCTTGGCTGCAGCTCAAGTGGTGAATCTCAAACCTACACACGGATAACACGGAAGGGCAGTCGGTGCAAGCTGAGTACGTATCCAGCCAGGTATGTCTGTATGTATCCCTTGGCGGACCAGAGGGTTTTATTACCAAACACATTGCGTCGCAATAGAGTGTCCTGGTGCTCCTGCTAGCGGCTATCACGTTCAAGGCGCCTATCCAATTGCTGTTTCTGCTCGAGAGCCGGCGCCAAATCCCTGCTACAGTGTTGCTGAGGTTCACCCAGTCACGTGCTCAGACACCGTTTGTGGTAGGTAGACAGGTCGACACTAAGAGCAAGTCTGGTGACTCTGACAGCAATGTGTTCATCCTGGACCGCGTGCTTCCAAGCCCGGACCACTTCTCCTCTGGAGTCGCGCCTGTGCCCAGGGAAGCATTCATACCACCAGCGTTTTTGCGCGTCGCGCTACAATGCAGCGGACTGTGCAGATGACGGGCTGTGGCTTCGGGGTGTGGCGGCAAGGTAGGCGCAGGTGGCAACTTAAGATGACATGACACTTTTTGCAATTCCCTGGCTCTTGCTCTTCCGGTCACGAGGGTCTGCATCCTTCAGTCGCTATCTCCACGTTGAAACCAGGGAGTATTTCGACACATCTACCCGTCAGGTAGGCCGTCAGCCGAACACGGTCCAGCTGTCAATCTTCGGTCTTGCTTGGTGAAATGGCTTGAACCCCGGTGTTCATGATACCGTTTTTGTCAAGCAAAAGAGCAAGACTATGGGGGAGAGCCTGTGGGCACTAAATACTGAACACTGGACATTGAACACATTCAGAGAGATACCTCGAAATGTTCGGCTCGGTCATACGGGAAGTGAAAGGCACGAGCCAACTCAGGGACACAACCGGCACGGTCGTAGGTGCGCGAATAGTACCGTCTTTCTATCAATTCTCTCCAGACTCCGGTATATGGGACCTGTCGAGAACGGGACTCGAACTCGGACTCGGACTCTGACTGTGGCGTTTCCACTCAGCAGGAGAGACGAGCACTCTTGGTGCTTGTCAGACCTTGGTGCGTAAGTCAAGTCGAGTGCGTAAGTCAAGCTCAATCATTCTAAATTCAGCTGAGAACGTTGCTTTTCGCGAATGGAAACACCACCATTCTCGAGGTGATGGAGTCTCGAGTTGCTAACGCAGGATGATTTATTATGGCTGTCGTTCTACACCAAGCACGAGAAGGGCCGTCGTCGGCCGAGCCAGTCTGTTCGTGTTGACTGAGATCAAATATGTTACTGAAGGGCGGGACTTTCACTGCGGATGCGTGGTTGATTGTTACACGGAGCCTACCTATCAAGTAATCTTCGTCTATCGTCGTCGATGACACTAATGAACACAATACCTGCACGCTTAGCGCTGGCCTGATTGTCGATTCCTTCAATATCAGACGTCTTCTGATAAGGCCATTGAGGCATCTTTCTCCGGCGTCACGAAAAGCCAGCTCTATCAACTCTGTGTTCAGGAGATGCTGAACTCTTGACATATCTTGCACACTTGGGGATTTCCATGAACGCACCCTGCCCAAAGGTAACAAAGTCGTGTCCGGCCCACAAACACACCAATCTATCGTTTCCGCCCTATGCCCACGAACGCCTAAGCCAATAATGCAATGCCGCTCCAGAGGTCTATACGTGTCACCGTGACCATAAGGAAAACAAGTGGTGCAAGACTTGCGAGGTGAACACACGATTCAACGACCCATACCGTCCAAATTCTCTCGAAGGCATCGAGTTGATCATACTACCATCTGGACCGGCCAAGAGGTGCAGCGTTGGAAGCAGTGAAGCCGCCACGACCACCACCACGGTGACCGCCGCGACCACCGTATCCTCGGCCGCCGCCACCGCCTCCAGAGTAGCGTGCCATCTCTGCAAGACGCGGGTCAATGTTCTGCTTCGAATCTTGCAAAATAGAGATAAGGTCACGGGCTTGTTTGGCATCTGCGTTATGTTAGCGAGCTGTATTCCTACAGAGAAAGTGGGGAGACTTACTCTCTGTTGTGAAGAGTGTAATGGCTGTGCCTTTCCTTCCAGCACGAGCGGTTCTGCCAATACGATGAACATAGTCCTCAGAATTGTTGGGGTAGTCGTAGTTGAAGACATGAGTAATGTCTCGGACATCTTGAGTTTATAGGTTAGCAACTCAGCCAATGGAAGTCTTACGGAGTGTCGGGGACCATATGTGGTTGTGTGAGCGGAGGCGCATGTCACTCTCTCTGTGGCTCGGAACATCATCCTAGGGTGGCCAATGTCCATGTCCGGAAAATCGGCAATGGTCTACGGTCCTTGGAGAATAGAGATCCTGGATTTGCAGCTTGGTTTGGTCAAAATAAATGTCTCACAACCTACTCGTGTCGGACGAAGCAGATGTGAGAGTCAATAAGCTGAGTGCTGGCAAACTGCAGAGGTATCCAGGAGGTCTAGAAGAAGGACCGAGAAGAACACAAAAGCCTGGACAAGTTACGCAGGGCAGTAGCGTAACAAGCGAAAAGAGAGCGAGCACCGTATGCCACACGACAGCAATGGTAAGAAATACAGAACAAGATAGACAAAAGAGGAGAAGGGGGGGAGGGGGTTGTTGTCTGTTCATACCGATACCACGGGACGCAACGTCCGTAGCAACCATGATTGGGCTCTTGCCGGTCTTGAATTCATTGAGAACCCAATCACGTTCGTTCTGTTGCTTGTCACCATGAATGGCTATAAAACTGTCAGTCTCGAGCCTGTGACGAAGGGACATGTCCACTTACAGAGTGCGGGCCACCCATCTTGTCTTAAGAACCGGGTGATGTCATCAGCGACACGCTTAGTACCTGTGAAGATGAGGATTTTGTTGTTGCGATCTTCCATGACCTGTTCAAGGTGTTTGATCATGCGATCTCTCTTTTCAAACTCGGACACAACTTCGACGATCTGAGTAATTCGGTGGTTTGCAGACAAGTCCATCGAGCCAATGTTGACCTGAATGAAGTCGTTCAGGTAATCGGAAGCCAACTGGCGGACCTCTTTGGGCCATGTGGCTGACCACATGCAGGTCTGTCGGTCAGGACGAATTTGGCCAATGATCTTGCGGATTTGAGGCTCGAAACCCATGTCAAGCATGCGGTCGGCTTCATCGAGAACGAGGTATGTCACACGACGAAGATTGGTCTTGCCAGACTCGAGCATGTCAATAAGACGACCAGGAGTAGCGATGCAGACTTCGACGCCCCTAGAAAGGTCGCGGATCTGACCACCCTTGGGAACGCCACCATAGACACAAGTGTTTCGGATGCGGGAGGATTTGCCAAACTTGGTGATTTCTTGTTGAATTTGCACAGCCAGTTCTCGAGTTGGGGCAAGAACAAGGACGATGGGGCCGTCGCCTGGAGCGAGAAGGGGTTGAGCGTTGATGTGAACAATGGCTGGCAAGCAGTAGGTTAGGGTCTTTCCAGACCCAGTCTCCGCAATACCAACCACGTCACGACCAGAAAGAGCCATGGGCCAGCCCTGAGACTGGATGGCAGTGGGTTTCGCAAAGCCCTGAGCCTTCACCTCGGACATGACATAACTGGGGAAACCAGCCTCATCGAAAGTTTCTACTGGACGAGGGACATTGCGGCCCTGGATTGAGATCTCGTTCTTTCTGCGGAACTCGTCGACGTCGCGTTGTGGTCTGGCCGTGACGGCAGGATCTTCGTGGTAGAATGATTTCTCAAATTTTGGCAAGGCGGCAAGATCCCAACTCTGCTCTTTCAAGCCTGCGCCCAGGTTGGACATCTTGTCACCGCCGCCGCCAGAATATCCGTTCGAGCCGCCATAGCCACCAGAGTAGCCATTGGAGTAGCCGTTTGAGTAGCCATTGGAGTGTCCGTGGCTGCCGCCGCCGTATCTGTGGATAGTTAGTCAGAACCGGACAAGTTGAGGGTAAGAAACACTGCGCCGAATGTCAAGCGCACTAGAGAAAGTGCCGCTGAAAAAATGGCGCAGTCCAAGTCCCGCCGAGATCGTTGGCACGTACCCGTTCGAATAACCGCCGTCTCTTGACGAACCGTAGCCGCCGCCGTAAGACATGGTGGGCGTTGAGGTTTGGCGATGGTGAGCCTAATCAAGGAGACCAGAGAAGCAGGAGTCGTTGGAAGTAAGTCTGTTTTCGATCTGGTTGAAACCAGGCGTACGAGAGGAGATTGTTGTAGTCAGACGTGTTACGAGGAAAGAAAGGAATGAAGAGATGAAGATTGTTGCAGGAAGATGGGGGCGGTAAGGGTTGAAATTTTAAGGCGAGTCAAGTAAGGCGAGAATGAGTGAAAAGTGAAAATTGGAAGGCGAAAGCGCGAACAGCCACAATGGCCCGCCGTATCGCTGATCACCGAGCACTAGCGCAGCACGTGCACTGTCACGTGAACATCGTTTAAGCTTGGCATTGAAATTTGCCACCGAGGATGCTGACGGTTGAGAAAATCCCTTTTCCACCACTACCTAGTGCCATTCCTGCTCATCGAATGCTATCAGTAGTGAGTTCCCCCACCCATGCCTCCCATTGACCAGAGGTCCGTGATGTCAAAATCGAACAGCGTTTCGGAAAGTGCACTGAATGGATCTGTCGTTGTCGTCACAAACGGGTCCAACTCTGGCAAGGCTTGAGTAGGCTGTCCACTCATTCCAACCAAGGTGTTCGCTGTGCTCATTGTGGCGTCTTCCACACCCGTGACCCCTTCCAGCGGAGCAATCTGCTGCAGGACCATATACTCGAACAGCTTCGCTACCCGATCAGCAGTCTCCTGGGCACATTTATCAGCGGGCTCGGAACGCAGCAGACCGAGAGCGCTAGCAGCAAGCCAGTATGAATGAAATCCTTGACCGAGACCGCGTATGCGGTCTTCCATCAGGTTGACGCTGTCCTCAACTAGTCGTACCGCAGTGCTTCGGTCCTGCATGAGGCCTTCCTTCGAGTTGACAGAGACTACAATATCATGGCAAGTCGCCAGGCATGCTCGAAACAAGCCGTCTCGGAGATTGCACATGATCATCCCGCTACTGGAGCGAAGGTGAGTAAATATCTTCATGGTCGCTAATGCGGCACTACGCCGAGCAGCGCGCGAATAGAAGTGTTTGGCCTGGGCGCCTGGCTCGGTTGCAAATGGTTGGTGGATGAGCAGGAGAGACTCATACAGCAGCAGCTCCGACAGATCTTTCGATATGGCTTTTGCCGCGCTCTCATTCCATTCGGGAATCGTATCCAGGATTTGTCGAATCCTTTGGTCGAGCTCAATAGCCGCATCCTTCTCTAGTGAAACGCGTATGCTGTTTATCGTCGATATGATCTCCAGTCGGAGAGGTAAATGTTGCTGGGCCAAGCAGAGAAACGAGGTCCGGGTAAACTCAGTTATCGGCCTGGCAAAAGGCATCGTTTCCGTGTCCTCGTCAAAATCTTCATCATGAAGATTGAGAGGCGGGAGCGTGTCCCAGTCGAATGGACCAATGCTGGTGCCCATGCCTCGATCGAGGCTGTTTTGGAGATCGAGTTCCAAGATTGTGAACCACAGCCGCCGACGCATCTCCTGGTCGAATACCGAGATATTTTTGCTTAGGAACGTGGGTTCGCGATGCAGACCTGACGACATGGCCGCACGCAGTAATTGCCCAGACACTGTCCACTCCCGTTTGATCTTTACACAGTTCAACTTCTTAGCAATGACAAGCAGCGCTCGTACTTGAAAAACCTCCAGGGTCACGTGTTTCTGGCTCTGGAGATCGAGCCAGTTCTCGCATACTTCGATCCACTTCACAGCCATGTCACGGCCAACACTGCTTCGACCCCTAAACCCCGATGGACCGCCTGCCACCGCGCAATTGACGCTGGCGCAAACTAGCAGCAATTGGACCAAAAACACCGAGGAGTCTTTCGAGAGAGATGCGCCCCAAAGTTCTTTGTACTTCCGGAAGAACATGGGCGCGTGCAGGACACGGTACGTTGTTTCCAATGTCTCGAAGTAATCCCGCACCAGCGCGTCCGCTCGAGCTTGTTCTGGGAGCATTGCTACCAGGGTGTCGAACTCCGGCAGCATCAATGTGGGATTGAGCTCCTTGCGTTGGTGTTTCCAAATATCGCGATGCTTCTCGAGCGTCGGCAGCCGGTGTAGGATGTCCTTCACAAAGCGAGATAGCTCCTCAAACTGGAGTAATATGCTAGCTCCGTGGCTGGGACCGAAGTACTGCGTTTTGAAGCTCTTCCCACGCAACAGTGCTCGTTCACTGTCCGGCAGGGCGTTCTTGTCCGACGTCGCTCGAGGACCAGCAGGATGACCCAAACCCAGGTATCGTTCCGAGGATGAGGGCTGGGAACCCGCTGCCCTCACATGGGTCTCCAACTCGTAGACTCGATTCTGAAGGTCTCGCAATGGTTTCGCTTGGGTTCGAGCCTGAGTAGGGGTGGTGTTCTGGCTATCTACATGGGCACGTGCATTTTCGTGTTCTTTCGCACGGGCGTGCCACACGTTGGCGTCTTCTATTGTGCTCAGCAAGTTAGCGTCTGCTCAAAATCTGTGAAAGCTCAACAACCGGCTTAGTCGTTCAGTGGCTGTGCAACACGACACCGCGTGCTGCCCATAATACTTCTTGATCTCGAGCAAAGGCGGGTGCCCTGTGGGTGTCCGGCAACTGTGGCTTGGACGCGATGCCCACGACCTCAGGCACGGAAAGGACACCACCTCCGACGTATCGCCGGTGCGCGCCGAGTGGGAGACACGCATGGCCGACATAGCAACAACCTTAGATCATTTGCGGGAGGTGCTTGAATGTTGTCATGGCACAGGAACCTTTCGGTCGACTAGATGACAAGGAAATACTGGGACTACTACTAACCTGTCCAGGACGAAGCCGAACTTTCTCGGCGCACATGTCGACTGTCCTCGGACGGCGGTAGGAGAGTATCGTCCTGCTTCGTGTACGAGACATAGTCGCAGCTGATACCTCCTTTCTGGCATCGAACGCAGGTAGGAAGTGTCCGATCACATTTCTGAAGACGTCAGTAAGAAGTTGAGTGTTGAGAGTGGAGAGCAATGACCCTCTCCGGCACACTGGCTGTCCGTGAAGAGGCTCACTTACCACTTTCCGGCGACGGCAGGCGACACAAGAGAGCGCCAGACGACGGCGCTTTGGACCCATTGCTTTTTTGACCGAGCTCTGAGGCCGAGCCAGGCTGACCGAGATAACGACGTTGGTCCTCCTCCCGCAATTGCGCGGAGATTCTGCTTTTCTATTGGTTAGGTCTTGATGTGAATCTCAGTAAAACTTGCTCGCGTCTCACCCCGGATTGAGCCTCGGGTGACGCCGCCCTGTCGTGCCTGTGCTTACCCCGGTCGCGCGCGGGTTAGGGTGAGCCGGGCGAGTGATCACCCGCGTCTCACCCGCCGTGAGGACCATGACGTCTCGCGTCTTGCCTAAACCAACTATGTGCTTTATGCACCCCATCAAACCTGAGGAGGCGATTCGCGAGGCCTACTTTGAGCACGGCATCAGGGTGTTCAGCCTAGATTCCAGGTCTGAATTGGACAAGATTGTGCGCGCAACGAGTATTAATGCTCAGCCAGCCACTGATTTGACCCTATGCGTCCGGATTCAAATTGGTGCCCAGAGTTCCAAGTTGAATTTTGACGCCAAATTCGGCGTCGATGGTCGTGAGGCGATCGAGCTCCTCATCGAGACGCGCAAGGTGGCACACCGGCTCGGTGTCTGTTTCCACTTGGGCAGTCAGACCATGGACCCGGCCGATTACGAGCAGGGTTTACGACAATTTGATGGCTCGGCAAAGGAAGCAGGTGTCATCGTCGATGACGCGCGATTTAGGGGGAGGCTTCCCCGTCCTATATCCGACGATGAGCTCGCCGGATTTGTCGGTCTTTTTCAAGAATATTAAAGATGCATTTGACGGCCTCGCACTCACGCCGACCCCGCGACTGTTAGCAGGACCTGGTCGAGCCTTGAGCGCGAAGTACCATTCGATTGTTACTAGGGTTGAGAATCGTCGGGGAAACAAGCTTTATATCAACGTGGAGGCCTATGGCGTCTTGTTCGACGGTGCGTACATGAAATGGCGATACAAGGCTCGGCTGCTTCGTGAGCCGCCATCTACACCCGAAGACGAAGCTTTCTCGTTCTACGGGCCCACATGTGACAGCCTGGATTACATGCCCGGACCTTTTTATCTGCCTGGCGGCGTAAGGGAACACGATGATCTCGAAATTTTGAATGTTAGCGCGTATGTTTGGACGATGAGGCCTTTTAACGGATTTAGTTCGTACAAGTACGCCGTGTTGAAGACCCGGATGAGCTATAGACTACCACTGCAAGGGCCTAGTATCCGCCCTTAAAATCGAGATTTCAAGACCTTCCTGGAAAGACTTTTTCTCAGGTTATCATGCTGCTTCCCACACAGCCTCCTGGAATATCTTCTCCACGGTTGACCCAGCGTGGCAACGGTAACCAAGTGTGAAGCCCCCAGAAAGCGACTTGCTTCGAAAAAAGAAGGCATTCACTTGGCCTCATATCTCGACATAAATACCGACGCGATCAAAGGCCGAGACTCAGACTGAGTGGCAGCAGCTCTGACTCGAGCTCTTGATTCTCGCAGCTGAAATCAAGGCTGCTTGCGAGTTTCGTAAGAAAGTATATTCTTTTCTGTCTCTGCGAACGTATTGCAGTTCAATCGTTGCGAACAGAGAGGGGACTTTGCCAAGAAATAATTAGCGAACACTGCTCGCGCCTCACCCCGGATCGGGGTGATCAAAGAATCTAGCGCCTCTGCCAGGCGCCAATCAGGTGCAACCCCTGCTCCGTCGTCACTACATAGGTAGGCAACTTCAGCCACTTCCCTCACCCAGGGATAAGAACGCTCTAGACCCCATACTTTTCAAAAACATCTGTGACAAGTGAGCCCATTCTCAGCCTTTCGTTCACGACCACCAAAGTTTCGGCTCAAAGTTGATCGGATCCCCGTTGAAACGGAGTGCTGTGGAGCTGAACAAACGAGTAGAGGAAGATAGTCCCTTTGCTCCAAACATGGGAACAGGGTGGGGACCGACTCGTTTCGCAATAATGGCTCGACAAGAATACTGATTTGTTCCGACTTCTCTCTACCATTGGCATGGTGGGTTCGGGAGGCATTCAAATAGCCTCGCCCACCTTTCAGGATGGCTAGGCATTGAACTATTCAGACACGTCTATGCTTTTCCAGCAACGGCAGGATGTGAGTCCTCAGGGTTCGCCTCCCAGTCGTCTATTATTATTAAGTCCTATATCGTCCATCTAGCATTCTAGATATATTTCTTGGTGTTTGTCTTTTATGGTCCACTGCCCTCCGTACGGTGGATCACCCATCCCACCTTTACCTTGAGGATTCCTCCCACATGATCTGAAAGGGATATCCCACTTTTGTTATCAAAGCCTATTCTATCTTATTAATCATGCGCATGACCCTCTTCCTATGGAGTGACCTTGGTTCAAACAAAGATGGGGAGGTAAGACGGCGTCCCACCCTTGAACCCATGCCTGGCACCCACGATGCGTACACACCAGACGCTTGAACTCTTCCTCTAACCCAACCCGTACACTCCAGTACAGTCTTGAATGAATCCAAGATTAAAGGCCTGGCCGATCACCTTTGATCTTGGATCCATTCAGGACTGCATTGGAGTGTATCCCTTTATGACTGCACACCTTTAGTCTAGTCTGGCCTCTCACCATCTCACCATGTCGAGGCTGTTTACCCCCGTCCAGGTCGGTTCCTGCCACCTGCAACACCGCATCGCCATGGCGCCCATGACCCGGCGACGGGCCCACGAGAACTACGAGCCCAGTGATCTTATGGTCGAATACTACGCGCAGAGGGCGTCCGTGACGGGGACCCTGTTGATCTCCGAAGCGGTGGCGACGTCGCCACGGGCCAGTGTCTGGCAGAACACCACGGGTCTCTACACGGCCGAACAGATGGCCAAATGGAAACCGGTGGTTGAAGCGGTGCACGCAAAAGGGTCTTTTATCTTCGCGCAACTGTGGATCACGGGGCGCGCTGCTCGACCCCTCGCCGTCGCGGCAGGCGCCGAGGTCATCTCGAGCAGCGCCATCCCGTGGAGTCCCGAGTCGGCGGTCCCGCGATCACTGCGAGAGGAGGAAATCTGGGCGTGTATCGAGGACTTCCGCCAAGCGGCCATCAACGCCGTAGCGGTCGGATTTGACGGCGTCGAAATCCACGGCGCCAACGGGTACTTGGTCGACCAGTTCACGCAGGACACGTGCAACCAGCGCACCGATGGGTGGGGAGGCAGCATCGAGAAACGCTCCCGGTTCGGCGTCGAGGTGGCAAAGGCGGTCGTGGGCGCCGTCGGGCACGAGAAGGTCGGGTTTCGCATTAGTCCGTGGTGTCGGCATCACGGCATGGGCATGGCCGATCCCCTTCCCCAGTTCACTCACCTCTTGCAGGAGCTTCAGAAACTCAAGCTCGCCTACCTCCACATCATCGAGGCTAGGGTCTCAGGCAACGAGGACGCCGACCTGCGCCAGTCAATCGACATGTTCGTCGACGTCTGGAATGGCACTAGCCCTGTTATCGTCGCTGGAGGCTACACCGCCGAAAGCGCCCGAGATGCCGTCGACGGCAAGTACAAGGACAAGGACGTCTTGATCGCGTTTGGTCGTCAGTTTATCTCGAACCCAGACCTGCCACTACGGGTCAAGCAGGGAATTCCCTTCACCAAGTACAATCGGGATACCTTCTACGAGGTGCTTTCGCCGAAGGGCTATACAGACTATGCCTTCTACAGCCCGGCTCAGACGGCGTAGGGGCGGATGGAATCTTCTCAGATATTACGTAGAGTCCGTCGATGGCGTAATGTGGTTTATTCTACGTCTAATATCGATTTCTACTTCGTCCCATTCTGCCTGAAGAAGCCCAGATTCAGCCCGCCAGGTTGATTCCCTGTACTGATCCCCAGCTCCTCGAACGTGCCTACCTCCAGTGCCTTTGGGGCGATGGTCGGATCACACATTTCGGCGTGGCGCATGCACAGCTCGTCACAGAGTTCGCCAAACTTCTGCATGAGCCCGAGACGGTCAATTTCGTCCCAGATCGCATACCCTCGGGCTGCGTCTTCCTCGACCGTTCTCATCCCGCACGACTCGGGTCCGAACACCATGAACGAACGGGAGACGTCGAACCGCTCCCACGGTTCCTGGCCGTTAGCAAACCTCAACCACGCCTCGGACATTTTCTCCGAGATTCGCTGCTGCTTCTCCGGGAGGACGTCCTTCAGGAGACCCCAGATGAAAACGTTGTCAAGAGAATGGTGAGGCTGATCCTTGAAGTCGCAGTCAAACGGCGAGGGAACGTCAAAGCGGTACGCATACATGCCCGGATTTGCCTTCAAGGCCGCCCAGTGCACGGCGAGGAAGAGGCCGTCGGTGGTGAATTTCTGGGCGCGGTAGAACGTCTCATTCCGGTCCATGCCCGCGTGGATATGGTAGAGGTCGAGAAGTTTCTGGGCCTTCTCCTCGTCTCCGACGAACGACTTGGTCAGTTTAACAAGGCCCGCGGCGTCGTAGCCCCGGAACGACTTGTTCCAGATGAGGGTCTCATGGCCGACATCGCCAATCATGACGCGCTCGCACCAGCTCGGCGGCTTGAAGTCCGCGTAACTAGAATAGGAGGGCATCTTGCCGGGGATGAGGTAGTGGTCATCACAGGGTGACAAGGTCAGCACGGGGATGACCCCGACGGGTACCAGCGCCGCCGTCAACGCGGTCTCATCCACCTCGAGAAGTCGCCGGAGTCGATCGCGCGGGGAAAGGTCTTCGGGAATCCCGAGCACCGTGAGGATCTTGTTGTAGATCACTTGGTACTGGCTCTCGGAGAGCACGCCACAAACCGGCAGGAGACCGGACTGTACGATCGCCGAAGTGAAGAGCTTCTCGCCACGCAGCATGTGCACGTTCGCGGAGACTGCAGTGATTCAGTTAAAGAGTCCCAAGATCTAGACATCTCGGTAGGAGAGCGACTCACCCCCGCCGGCACTCTGGCCGAAAAAGGTGACCCTCGCGGGATCACCCCCAAAGGCAGAGATGTGTTCTTGAACCCAGCGCAGCGCTTCAATCTGGTCCCACAGTCCGTAGTTTCCGACTCCGCCCTCGTTGAATTCGGCGTTGTATTCTTTGATCTCCTTGCTGGCCAGAAAGCCGTACACCCCAACGCGATATGTGATGGTGACGATGATGGTCGGGATGTTAAGATTGCCCGAGATCTCCGCCAGTCGACGTCCGTCGTAGATCGGAGCCGATCCCGCGCCGTACACAAAGGCTCCACCATGCACGAAGACCATGACCGGATAGATTGGCTTACCGGACGACACGCTCGGCGGAGTTGGTACGGAGACGTTGATGTTGAGACACTCGGTGCTCGATACCGGCGCCGGTTCCACCCACGGTCGCTCCGGGTTCGGGATATACATGAAATCTCGTGGCGGCTGAGGGCACATTGCTCTGTTGATCCCTTTCGCCTCAGTGATGGAATGGTCCGGTGGATCCGATGCAACTCACCCCAGTTTAGTACCGTCCCATCGATTGTTCGGCCACGGCTTTGGGCTTGGTTGGGGCCGTCGGAATCGCCCTGGCACCGTCGCGTAGGGAATGCCGTAGTATTGGCATGTTTGGTCGTAGAAACAAACACCGGTGATCTCACCCAAGCTGGGCACGTCAAGCTTAACCTTGGCGACGACGGGGACATCCATGTTCATGCTGGTGGCTACAATGGGCCATGAAAGTGTGCTTCTTAGGTACATCTATACATAGGGAGGATACATGTATTCATATGACACGAGGCGTCCCTTTGGTCTGATCCATTTGATACATAGTCAATGGCACCATCCCACTTATGCCTCCCACTCTCGCCCGAAGTATCACAATCTCACTCTCGGCCGCTCCACATCCTCGCAAAGAGGAACAGGGCCGTCCACGGGCTCCTGGCAACCCCCGGCCTGTCGGATTTCCTCCTCAGCCTTGCGCCTCTCTCGATCCCACCACTGTACTCTCGCCTTGACCACCACTTTCGAAAACATCTCCTTCCACTCTGGGTCATATTTGGGCAGAACCCTGCCTGTCCCCTGTGCCGGTTCCCCTGCAAACAGTCGCAATCCTTCAAAGTATCCCTCGAAGTCGCCCGAGAGATCATAGAAAGACATTCCATCGCCCAAAGCGGCGATCTTGTCCTGCTCCCACATTTGCATCTGTTGTTTCGCCGGTAGTCTCGCCCGCGATGCCAAATGTCGAGCCACCGCGACGGCCTGCCATTCAAACACACGGAAGGTCAACCCGCCCGCGACCTACACGATTAGCTCGTTTCTCTTTGCGGGGGGATTATCTTTCTTTACTCACCATGCCGATGAATGATAAAGAGGGATCTTCTATGTCAAACACGTGCTGGTACAGGCCCCGAATCCGGCGGTTCTTGATTCGGATGTCAAAACCGGGCAGGAAGGGGAAACTAAAGTCGTAGCCTGTGGCGAAGAGGATAACGTCGACCTCATCCTCCGAGGAGCCGTCCGAAAAGTCGATTCGGCCATCCGGGTGGAATTGGGAAATGGGCGGCTTGTTGACGACGTGTGGATGTGTGAAAGCACTCCATCCGAAGGCTGGGAGCGGTTCTTTCAGAGAACAGATCACCGGCTGTTGCGCCACCAGGCGAATTTCATGTAGAGCGTCAAAGGCGGACACGGATCCACCGACAATGATGACTTTCTATGACCCGAGTCAGCCGCGTTGCGCGTGGCGCCCCAGAAACGTCCAAGGAAAGCCTCACCTTGCCGGAAAACTCGTCTACCGACCGGAAATGCTTGCTGTGCTTGATCCGCCCGGGAAATTTCTCGTCATACTCGACCAAGCCAGGAATCGCGGGTATGTAGGGAATGGAGAAGTGACCGGTGGCCACGACCACAGCGTCGAAGACTTCCTGCCACCAGATATTCTTGGTGGCCCCCGGAGCCGCCTTTCTCAGAGTCAACACCCACTTGTCTCCCCGTTTCTCCGCTCGTTCCACCGTGGTATGGAATTCGACGAGGTCCAACCCGCCGCCTCGGATGAAAATATCCTCCACCCAGTCGCGGATGACCTCGCGGTGGCGGAATGGGGCGTTACTGCCGTACTGCGCGAGCGTGCGTTCCGACAGAATCTCCGGAATCGGTTCTTGCGTGAAGCACATGGTTTGGGGTGGGAGGTTGCTGTGGAGGTATTCGTGGACCGCCGTGCCCGAGTAACGCGATTCAGCCGAATTGACCGCCTCGGTAATCTCGGTTTCACAGGGAAACGACGACGGAATAGCCACCGGTTGGTCGGCGCGGTTGTCCAGCAGCGCGCGAAGACATGGAATCTTCGGCGCGTCATCTGCGGCGTAGACCCTGCGAGAGATGTCGAGAGAGCGGGTCAGAAGTCGTGCTGATAGGGGATCTTTGAGAGATGGAGCCAAACATACCATGTCCCACCGATGGTGCCTTTGCGTTCAAACACCCGGATCGTGTCAAAGGCCTGTTCCTTGATCAAGGCATCTGTGGTAATGGCGGCAGCCGGCCCAGCTCCGATAACGGCTACGCGAGAACAACTTCGAACCATGGTGATGGACCGATTGAGTTGACAGATGGCCTGGACGATCAAGAAGAGTATACGAATAAGTACTCCCGTTTCTCGGGTGGGACGGAGCATGCAATTCCATGCTGTCTCTCATGCCTTTTGTTCCTCTGTAGAAAGTGTCCTGTTGTCGTGACAAGTCGGTCCAGTCCGGAGCATGGATTCCATCCCACTTTTGGTCGCAGTGTCTCTTCCGCGCATCCCACTTTTGCCATATCTCACGATTCCACCATTGAATCGTGGATCCACAACTCCCCGGCCGCCCTTGGCTCGCTTTCAGCCGTCATCACGCCATCGCGTAATCAATCTCGTGTTTGACTCGACTATATACTGTGACGGACGGAGTCGTGATACCGATGTGCCATGACGCCTCGTGGTGGTAAATGGCGACGACGATGATGATGGATGATGTCTTGACGAGGCCCAAGGCCCAAATACCCCTGATCTTTGTGGTCGTGATCATCATTGTCGTGTCGGCGCGAAATTATCTCAATAAAGGACTCCACAAATATCCTGGCCCGTTTCTGGCGAACTTCACCGATGCCTGGCGATTCTATACCGTCTACCGGGGCAAGTCACACCTCACTCTGCGTCTGCTCCATGACCAACATGGACACATCGTCCGGCTGGGGCCGAATGCCCTCTCCTTCAGTAGCCCAGAAGCTCTAAAGGCGATTTACGGATTGAATAATCGACTGACCAAGGCGAGCTCGCTCACCCCTGATTCGATGAATGGAGCGATTTGTTGACTCATGTTCGCGCGTATAGAGTGCATTCTACCCGGTACAGATGCAAATCTCCAAAGGCGAGATCTTACAGTCTTTATTCGGCACCCAAGACCAGGACTATCACATGAAGCTCCGGCGGACAGTCAGCGGCGCTTTCTCCATGAGTTCGCTCGTCCAGTATGAACCGCGGGTGAATGACACGGTGCGCGTGTTTCTCGCTCGGACCGAAGAATTGTACGCTGCGCCCGGGAAGTCGTGCAACTTCATCCTCTGGCTCCAGTATTTTGCATTTGACGTGATCACCGAGATCACCTACAGCCGCCGGGTCGGGTTTGTCGACAATTGTGAGGATGTTGATGGGATCATTGCCTGGCTGAACAAGATCTTTGACTATCAGGCTCCGGTGAGAATCCTTTCCTCCCTTTCCCAATCTTGTTGCTGCGAAGTCCATATTGACTTTTACAAGGTGGGCCAGATGCCGTGGCTCGACAAATTGTTTGTCAAGAATCCGATCATGACACTGGCGGTGAGTTCGAGCTCTACGATGGAGGCTCCGGCGACTCCGAGCTGACTCTGTCCGTAGAGCAAATACGGCCTGATCGACAACTCATCCGGGACGGCCAAGTTCTCCCGCGCCCGCATGGCCGAGCGGCTCTCGGGGAGGTACAAAAAGGACAGCATGGATCTGTTGACCATGTTCCTGAAGGCTCAGAAGGAGAACCCGACCTTTTTCGACGACGGCCGTCTCCTGACCATGACCACGTCCATTGCCCTGGCGGGATCCGACACCACGGCCATCAGTCTTGCGGCCGTCTTCTACTATCTCCTGATTAACCCGGAATGCTACGAGAAGCTCAACCGGGAAATTGACGAGTCGATCGCCACGGGGCTCATCTCGGATGCCTCCGGGATCATCACCTGGACCGATGCGCAAAAACTACCCTACCTCCATGCCTGCATACAGGAGACCTTTCGCATCCATCCAGCCATCGCCATGATTCTGGAGAGACTCGTCCCGCCCCAGGGTATGGAGATTGCAGGAGAATTTATCCCCGGCGGCACCGTCGTCGGGTGTAGCCCGTGGGTCATGCATCGGCAACCGGAGATCTTTGGCGAAGACGTCGACATCTGGAGACCCGAGCGGTGGATGGGCAATTCCGACGAAGACGAGCGCAGGATCAAGAAGATGAACATGGTCATGTTCCAGTTTGGCGGCGGCTCGAGGACGTGCCTGGGAAAACATATCGCCTTGTTGGAGATGTACAAGCTGGTTCCCAGCTTTCTCAGACGATTCGAGGTAAATTAGACATCACCCCCAACCGGTGGGATCGGGAGATGCTGACGAGACTTCGCAGATTAAGCTGACCAGTCAGAAGGACTGGGATGTCCACACCAAATGGTTTGCGAAGCCGAAAGTGTTTGACGTCGAGTTGAAAGTGAAGGAGTCGTCAACAAGGGTTCAATAGATCCAGATCCGTGGGGATCTTATATCCTCGAACTGAACTGAGCCCGGAGATATGACTAGTGAAAACATGCTTGCGAAACTTCTTGACTGAATGTATGCGAGCTAGCGAACTCATCCATGGTGCTGCTATATCGAATATATTCACCTCCTGGTATGAAAATCCCGACCACCGAGAACATATTCAACCCTGCTCGACTACCACATCTCCTCCCGCCTTCTCTCTAAGTAACATAGGTGAATCTTGGACTGTCGTCTCCTAACTCTTCGATCTCGACATTGGACATGCTCGCAACCTTGTGATCTTCCTTGCCCTCGGCTCGTCTCTTGTTCATCCAGGCGTAGTACAGCCACATAAAACCAAAGGATAAGGTCCCATAAGCCACCATCGAAATGGTGATAGCATGGCCCTTGATATACCGCGGGGCTTGACCACTTGGATACAGCTAAGGTTGAGCTGGTTAGCACAGACTCGGAGACCGGTCCCGCGGAGCTACGGGATTCACTTACAAAACTCGACATGATTCCGGCGCTGTTCCCGATCATGGCCTGCATGGCAATGACGGTCGCGCGTTTCCCATACCGTGGGGTGTGGGAAGGCAGCCACGCCAAAGGTAGACCGACCACACAGTACATACCACAGGCGACCAGGAAGCATCCAGCGTAGTGCACCGCATTGCCGCCGTCGGAGATGAGCATGAAGTAGCCACAGAGCGAAATGGTGCCGAAAATGACGCAGTAGATGCCGCGACGTTGCTGGCGATCGGATGCCATGGCCACGAGAATGTAGGTCACGGCGCCAAGCGAGTAGACAGGGATGGTGAGGACCTGGACAATGGCACTGGTGGCGTCGGGCATGATCCCGCGGATAATGGTGGGTAGGAACGTGCTAAACCCGTACAGTGCAACGTCCACTCCGAATTGTGCACAGCTAAATACCCAGCTTTTCCAATCCGTGAGGCCCTTGCCGACGTCGTCCCAGTGTAGTTGCTGCGCGGACTTGGTGCTGCCCGTTTGGCGATGCAGCCGGGCGAGTAAAAGCGCGCGCTCTTCCTCTGTCAGATACTTTGCCTTTTCTGGCGAGTCGGCCATGAAGAACCAGAAAACGAAAGCCAACACGACGGTCGGACCGCCCTCGAGCCACATGATCCAGCGCCAGCCGCGGTAGCCCGCCGTGTCTGGTATGCCCAGTTAAAACCTTGTTCATTGTTTCTGGGTGAAGGGAGAGGGGAGCTCACTGTCCAAGAATCCAATTCCATACGCGAGTAATCCCCCACAGGCGCCCGCCAATGCTGAACACGTAAATAAGTACGCGATCCGTAAAGCGAGCTCGCGCTTCGTGTAGAATAAGGTCAAGTACAACACCAAGCCCGGGAACAGGCCTCCCTCAAAGGCACCCAAGAGGAGGCGGCACACGACCATGCCGGCGAAGTTCTGCACGAAACCGCTGAAGGTCGCGACCATACCCCACGAGAAGGCAATGAACGAGAGCCATCGCGAGGGGCCGACCTTCTTGACCACCAGGTTTGAGGGTAGTTCCAGCGTGATGTACGTGACAAACAAGAGCGAGACGCAAATCTGGAATTGGTTGCCTTGAAGGTTGAGGTCTTCTTCCAGACCGTACAATCTGGGGAGGGTTAGGAAGATGCTCTCCGGATAGAGACGAGGACGAACCGGGCATTTCCAATGTTGACACTGACCAAGTTAGTAAGAAAGAGCATTGTCCACGAGGAGAGACGCGACTTGCCGATCCAGGAAACTGAACAGGTACAGCAGCATGATCATTCTACCCGGTATAAGTGATGTCCATCCCACGGGAGAGAGATATCGTACGGCATGATATGGAGCTATGGGTGTTAGACTTCGGGCTGCGTACGGGGAAGAAAACATACATCCAACTTGCGCACCAGCTTCCTTTCGGCGGTGTAGTCGATTTGGAGGCTGCCATCCTCGCTAGAAAAGGGTCCGTCGGTGCTGGTGGTGGTGGGAATGGCTTCGGTTTTGTCCATCTTGAACTCCGTCCTCATGCCTCCTCAGGGTTAAATCTTGGACATGAACAAGCGTGAGACAAGGTCACCACATCCTGCTCATCGGTGAATATATATCCCAGACAGCCATTGCTGGTGAGGAGATGTCGTGCGACATGGTGTTGATGGTATCATCATTTGGCTTCATCTAGATCTAACAGGCTTGATCCCACTCTTGGATGTCGAGATAATACCCTAAAACCCAGGTCCCGGCGGAAAGTTCAGGGCGAGAGATAGGGTCGTTATCCACCGCGTCCGGATCCCTCGGTGGACCCCTTATCAATTGCGAAATTGATAGGAGGGACAACTACGAGGTAAGAACTCAGCCCCCCTAGCCCGGACCATGCCCACTTCCCAAAGGTGGGTCCCCATGTCGCCCAGGACATGCATACGACATCCTCGACCCATTCACACTCCAAGAGTGGGTTGCATCCACTTTACGCCATGTCCACCCTGGCATCCCATGTCTACCTCGTTACCTATCTCGTGCCATTTCAAGGGCGTATACGAGAGCACGTCCCATGGCGTGTCCGTCCGATGTGGTCGGAGGCATGTACGAAGGCCACAACCTTCCAATGTCATGTACCGCGTCTGTACATATGTACTTGAGGAAAGACGCCGAGCCTAGCCTGGCCTGCCTGTCTCCACGTTCCTCTGAGCCTCAGCCTGGGACAAGATGAAATATAGGGCAGTGGTGGTTGGCGCCGGACCCGCAGGCATCGCTGCTGTGGGCAATCTACTCGAACAACACCAGACTCCCATCCTCTGGGTTGATGACCGGTTCGATGGCGGCAGGTTGAACAGGTATTACAGACAAGTCCCGAGGTACGACCCATCAGCATGCCCTCAAGCCTACATTGCCCCTGTCAACTAACCAGCTGGGCTGTGTCCAGCAATACGAAAGTCAAACTTTTCGTTGCCTATTTCGAAGGACTGGATGTCTTTCGTACTATCGGCCGCACTGCGTCGGCCCCAAACCCCATCAGACATCTCCAAAACCTCGACCAGGAGAAGACGTGCCATATCGCCGAGGCCGCAGACGCGTGCCTAGCTCTCACCCACGGCCTCGGGAGGTACGACGGCGTCACCATGTACATGGGATCCGTATCGGACGCATCGCAGTCGGAAGTGAGTGTCTCAATATCCACGCACCCCACAGCCTTGACTAACCAGATAGAATGGCACCTGGACGGTGACCATTGCGACCCCAGAGTCTATCTATACAACGGCGTCGGCGGAGCTACTAGTACTCTGCACTGGGTCATCTCCTACCACGCAGCCTCTCCCCGTTCTATTGCCGCAACAAATCGGCCTGGACGACGGACTGAATCCGCCTGTACTATCCCAGCGTCTCCCCTCCGACACACCCACCACAGTCGCTGTCATCGGAGCCTCCCACAGTGCTATCTTGGTTTTAGCGAACCTATCCCACCTAGTCGAAACGACTCATTCCCACCTCCGCATCCTATGGTTCACCCGCCACGCTCTGCGGTATGCGGAGGAACGAGACGGATGGATCTTTCGCGACAATACCGGCCTTAAAGGGACGGTGGCGACATGGGCAAGAGAAAACCTCGAGGCGGGTGACTCACCAGTACATCAATACCTCCAGAAGATCGAGACTACCCCTGAAAGTGAACCTACCCTGTACCGGACCTATCTCCCAGACTGCACCTACGTTATTCAAGCTGTCGGGTACACGCCTAACCCGGTACCCCGGCTAACGGTTCGCGGCCACCCCGTGAGTACGTTAAAACACATCGACTCGACCGGAGGGTTCGCGGATGAGCATGGGACCACCATAGATGGGCTCTACGGCGCCGGCATTGCATGGCCAGAGAGGGTCGTTGATCCGGAAGGGAATGTTGAGTATGCGGTAGGACTCGCCAAGTTTATGAGATACCTCAGGAGAGTGGTGCCGGCGTGGACTGGCGCAAGAGAAAGTGTGGGTATGAGGACGGGGATGGGCTCGGGGCCGGGGGCGAGTCTACACTTTGTATTGGATCAAAAGGGGGTGGAATCCGGGGTATCGACGGGCATGGGACGTCTAATGGCCGGCTAGGACCGAGGGCATATTATCAGCAGACTGTATCCTATCACGATAGAAGAATATCTGTAGATTCCCTACGATGCGAGGTCTAAGAGAGCGGCAGGGGACGTACATAGATAAGCGGTGACGCGATCGAAAGCGAGAGCGATAAGATAGGACAAAGAGTCAGTTAAGCGGGTCACCGGCTCTGAAAACCATCCAGGTACCCCGGTCCTGGCCAGGTCAAGCAAGTACTAGTACTTAGGCACGCCTCCCACCTTCTGATCGTATGCTTCCCCTCCCTCCCACTTTCCGAACCTCACCGCGACACAGTAGAGATGGCGACTTCCCCTTGTACTACCGACGCATCGCAAAAAAAGATGTTCACCTGTCCCGAGCCGTCGTGCCGGAAATCATTTGCGAGACGCGAGCACCTACACCGACACCAGTACAACCACAAGGACTGTGACTTAACTTGTTCTCGGTGCGCAGCGCATTTCCGCCGCCGTGACCTCCTAGACCGCCATCTCAAACGCCACCAACAAAAGGACATCGAGGCCGGCGGAGAAGGGCGGGGCAACCTGGCGACGCGCAAACGGCTATGGAGAGACAGTGATGGGCGCGTGGTCAATTCGAGCCGACCGCACAAGATTCCCTCCCCAGGAGTGGATGGGCCGCCTCAGTCCGACACGCATCCTCACACAGCTCTGCCTTCGCCGCCGACCTCGAGCTCGGGGGTCGAACAAGGCAGCGATGTCGCGTACCTACACGAGCCGTGGACGTCAATCGACATGAGTTTCATGCCGGCGGATGGTCAGGACCCTGATTTTCTGTTCGATTCCAGCTGGGCGACGCATAGTCTGATGGCGGCCACGGCGTCGGAGGCTCCAGACCATGATATTTCGTTTCCCGATACAAGTAAGTGCACCTTGGGCGGCCTGGGAATCCAAGTCTGGTCCGGACATTAATGGTTCATTCTGGTCATAGCGATCTCCTTCAGTGCCCCTCTGCCGACACTTCAGTATTATAACTGGTTGTTCGGGAGTGACATTCCCCACGCTGGGGATGATCGATGCCAATCCCAGTCACCGACACACTCGCAAAGCATGGCCGCCGAGACTCTGACCGGCCCAGACGCACCTATAACGGCGATTCAGGATGCATTTGCGCCTCCCACACGGTTTGACGTGACCGGCTCTGTCCAACAGACTGCTGTTCCCGCTCTTTCTGCTACCACCCCTGCTACTCACGTTGCAGCTGATGCCATTTCTGTTCCTTCTCCTGCGCAGCAACCACCGAGCAGTCCTCGCCAACACCCTCATCTAACGCCCCGCCGAGAGCCGGAGGATTTCGACGACCTCCCTCCTCCAGATTGCTGGGCGCGTGAAAGACCGACTAAACTTCCCGTCATGACCGACCAGGCCCGTGACGGGCTCATGCAACTGATCTACCAGTCCCGGCCGTCCCGACCGGACAAGTCGGAAATCAGCCCATGCGACCCGCTTCTCTCGTCAGCGGCCTTGCAAGAATACTGTGATCTATTCTTCACCCGGTTCAACTTGACGTACCCGCTCATACACTCGGGAACGTTTGACAGCTCGAACACGCCTCCTCTATTACTAATGTCGATCGTGCTTTTGGGGGCCACGTACGCGGACAAAAAGGCGCATCTACTTGCCGTGTGTATCCACGACACGATGCGCCCGTTGATCCACAGTAGTAAGGACTTTGGTACGCGGCCTCGGCTGTGGATGCTTCAGACCATCTTGCTGGTGGAATGCTTCGGTAAAAGTCGCGCCGGAGAGCGACAGCACGATATGTCGAATCTGTACCATGGGCTTCAGATCAAGTATGCCAGCGATGCGTGAATCCCTTCCCTTTGTTTCTTTCCAGAAAACTTCCTCTCCTTGTCTCCCCAGACTTCTCAGTGGAAAGTAACTAATGTTTTCTAGTCTGTTACGCCGAAGCGAATGTCTCCATACGCACCTCCAACCATGGGACGAAACGACGCAGAGTCTCGACGAATACTGGCGCCAGGCCGTCGAGGTGGAACAGATGCGGCGCCTGGCGCTGATTTCCTTTATGTGGGACACGCAGCACGCCATCTTCTTCGCGCAGATTCTGTGCATGAACGCCTCAGAGCTCAAGGTCACCTTGCCCTGGGACACGGCCGTGTGGGAAGCCGAAACGGCCGAAGAGTGGTGGGAGAGGACGCGAGCGTCGCCCGCCCCGCAACCATATTTAACCATTCTCCAAATGTATACGGACCCGCATGGGTCGTCGGCGCCACGCCACCTTAACGCGCTGTCGAGGGTCTTGATCCTGCACGGCCTCATGTCCTTGTCGTGGGACTTCCGCCGCCGGGACCAGACCGCCTTGAAGAATATCACCACGACACCCGCGTCGGCATCGTCGCCGTCTTCGCGGTGGCAATCCAAGATCTCCGCGTGCTACGGGCGCTGGAAGCTCGATTTTGACCGGTACACGAAAGATGTGCTCGCCTCTTTGCCGCCCACCGCGTCGGCGCAGAGGTTTTTACGCTTTGCCGTCGCCCATTCCGCCGTCTACCACACGGCGCAAATACTACTGGAGGTCGAGATTGCCGATCTCCAGATCCACGCCGGCGCACGCCATATCCTCGGCCGTCCCGTGTCGGAGCTCGACCGACGCCGGTCCCGGTCGCGGCTCGACGAATTCTTTTACACCCGAGACGCCGGCGGAAGCGTGGCCCGCGCCACCTGGCATGCCGCTCGACTCGTGAGGGACGGTATTAGGAAACTCGATAACTGGAACGTCGATGACATGATCCATTTTCCTTGGTGTCTTTACCTGGCCACCTTGACATGTTGGGCGCTTTACACTGCTACACCACCAACAACCGTCTCACCGGCAGATAATGGTTTCAGGCCCTTGGACAGAGATGTGGCCCTCGAAGACACCGAGGATGAAGATTCCGAATGGGACTCTCGTACCGAGATGAGCGCCTTGATCAGCGCACTCTCTCGACTGGATCCCCTGAAGAGTGACACATTCTGCAAAGACATTCGCGCCGTGGCCGGTAAGTATCCTCCGCACGGCCTACTGACATGTATGGTCAAGCATCTCGGCACGGTCAGGTGGGCTGTCGTTAGAGAGGGCATGATCGTTTTGAAAGACCTTCAAAGGAGAGAGCTACACAGAAACTAGAGATCCGAAAATTAATATACTATCACGTTCGGTATCCCTCTCGCCTCTGATCATAAAGGTGGCTGCGGGTTGGGCAGATTCCTGCCGAAGTCACCAGAAGCAGACATCAGTTGTTCATTCTTTACCCTCGTGTTATTCTACGTCTTCTGTTCCGCCTCACCGACCTACGGGTCTTTTCAAACCCAGTAATACTCGACATCGTTTTGCCGAGAACCTCGAGTGTGGGCTGGCATGACGGTTAGAATACCGGAATCTCTCGCATCGAAGCCTCGTCTAGCTTGTCTGACAACGCGACCCAGTTCAGCTTGTCTACCACCTGGCCAATCCTGTGGTCTCGAACGGGTGCGGGTGTCTTGACAGTCCACTGCTGAACCTGCACATCTTCTAATGGCCCAGACACATATCACCAGGAAAACGAGGGTGCCAACAACGAGGAGGATGGTGAGACCGGCGCTACCCATATTGACGACACTTTGTTTTCAGAACACTTCGCTGCTGATGTCTTGATGTCTCATGGAGGTTTGTAATGGCAATATCTGAGACTAAATAGAGGTGAAGCATGTTAAAGTGGGAACTTCTTGCTGCCTCCCCTGCGGTGGGTTCTTTGACCACGCCTCTTTGCCCCAGGCAGCCCAGCCTCATTGTTGTGGCCAAAGCAAAGAAAGAGCTTACTGCTACCAAACCGGCTCTGTTACAGGGCTCTTATGACAAAGGAAAGAAGAGCTGTCGAGATCAATGCTGGCAGTTTGACAAGGCGACTGCGACAAAGGGTAGACAAAAGATACATCACATACAAAACACGACGCTTCCATGCACTGCTGTACGGCCGACAATCCTCATTGTATCTCGATCAACATCGCTGCTCCGAACCTGGCTGCCGATTGGAACAGCCTCTGCCTGATGCCTCGGGATGGTCAATGACCCCTTTCTTCTGTCACCTGAGGCATTGTTGTGGACTGCCTAGTCGAAGGAGCATAAGTATCCAGCATGCCCGAGTGCATTTTGCGAACTCTCCATCCTTCCAACACAACAACAACTGCACTGGAAAGTCTCCTTGATCGACCCAGACTCTGCTCTCACGGAGAACACCTGCGACTAGCGATCAAGCCTTCCGATGCCGCTTGAAGGGTCAAAACAACCTATCTCTGAAGGCTGGAACTTCATCGAATCCCCAGCAATGTCACCGACTTCGAACAGCCCGTCACTGGATGACCTGTTCGAAGCAAACCGACTCAATCTTACCGTCAATCCGCTCGACATGTTCCGACCGACGGCGCGCCGTGTCGCCACCTCGTCATACAAGCCGTTGTTCCCAGACTGGGACCAGACCTTGTCACCCGAACAAATCGATCCCCGCGTTCCGCGCGATTATACTGTCAATACTTTCTTCAAAAGCCCGGCCGAGGTTGGGCTGACCCGGGCCATCAATCGCGATCTAGAGGGTGGCAAGGACTCTTCCTTATCTCCCACCGCGACTGCATTCAGCCTTTCGGAATGGATTGAAGCAGATCCGTTCGACGATGCCAATGCAATTCCAAGTGAGTCTCCTATCCCCAGACAAGAGCCTGGCCTTGGCCCTGAGTCTGTCTTCGACAGCGAGTCTGTCCTCCGGGATCTTGCTACGTTTGATCCCGACTTCTTTTTTGAGGCACCATCCAACGTGGTATCGCTTGACTCACCGGCAGCCGACTCTCTCGTTGGTAATGGCAATGTCCATCCTTTGCTACATCCAAGTGGCCCGGGAGCATTCAGCCCGCATGGTAACCCCTTCCTTGATCCTCCCCCAACCTATCAATGCCCACAGCAAATCTCCACTCATCAGCAGTTCATCCCTCGTTCGGTCGACGACAATCGAGCGTCTCACGGCTACACAGACCCTCCTTTGTCTACAGGCAGAAGTGCTGAGCAATCCTGCGTCCACGGAGCCTATCACCCTGCCCGGGCAGAGACGGAACGGCGGGAAGCCCGTCTCCTTCGTCGATCCCAACTTTTCGCAGGACTCCCTAGACTGATTGTGCCGCAGAGCCCACCCCAAACTTTTGTCCCAAATCGACCGAGACAATATCAACCGCTACCACCCCCTCCACCCCCTCCTCGAAGATCTCGACACTTTGCCCCTGTGCCTCCTCCATTACCCCCGGTCGTGAACCCTCGCCCCATACTTCCACAGCACCTGAACTCTGTCCCTCTTGCCAATCCCTGGCGCATTGGCTATCGAAACCCGTGGTTCAACCAACCAGATGTAGCATGGTATCAAGCCACCGACCCTGTCACCAGGAAAGTTGTGGGCTATTGCCTTCGTTACCAACGACCAGTACCTTCCAATCTCGAATCAGCCGCTGTCCCTCGTCCCACGACTCTGACGCAGCCGCGCCCTTGGGCACCCAGTGGCCGGACCCTGCTTGCTGCGGAGCCGGCACTTCCATCGGCGGTCCCGAATCGAAGAAGAGCGGCCGAGGAAGAGGCTGACGGTCATCGCAATAAAGTTGTCATCGTGCAGGGTGTCCCATACCGGAGAGTCGACTGAGCCAAGGTAAGCTTTCGCAACGAATACCCACAAAGAGGCCAAAAGAACCAGAAACACCAAAAACAGCAGAAAACCATGCAAACACAACTAAAAAAAAGGGGGTGGCCTGGTTAACTGATTTTACAGGTGCGTCCACACCCCTCCTCCCTGTCCTCCCAGGACATACCTGCGATGTGTCCTTGGGGGGAGCTACTCATCCTATATATACAGCAAGTATATATGTATATATATCAAGGTCCGGAAGTCTTGTCTGGCGTCGGCGTGGAGATCCGCAACAGATGCGTACTCGACTGGTGTTTCTGCTTTGCGTCCGCAACAGATCCGTACTCAGATTGCGGCTTCTGCTCTGCGTCCGCAACAAATCCGCACTCAGATTGCCGGTTCTGCTCTGCGTCTGCACTAGGATCTCCCTCGAGCGGGAGTTTCGTGTGTCTTCTGCTTCCTCGAGCGGAAGGTACATGTGTTTTCTCGTCTTCCCCGAGCGGAAGATTCACGTGCCTTCCTGCCTGTCCACCCGGGACCAGACCGCTTGCACCCATGGCTGCATCGCTCGAGCTTTTCCATCGCTCGAGTTCTGCAGCGCTATCATGGCTTGTACACCTCTCGTTGGCAGTCCGGAACTTCGTCTTTCTGCTTGCATTCTGAAGCGTGAGGACCGGTACGCCTCTCATTGGCAGTCCGGAATTTCGTCTTTCCGCTTGCATTCTGAGGCGTGAGGACTGGACAGGCGACAATGGAGATGATCAAGATGAAGCTGCAATCCGGAACGCCCTGGCCAAGGACGGATCTACCCTGAGAGACATCCAACCGCACCCGGATCTCCACATCAGCGCACCGGCTCGATCTAATCTTCGCGTGGTGTGGTTGTGCGGTCTTGACATCGCAACGACCAAAATCATACTTTTGAGATCTCGAAGATCAACAAGAGTCTATAATCATATCATGATTATTCGTCGACATGCTGCAATTCTACCCGGAGCCTACCACACCAAACCTGGACCCATACTCAATGTCCATGCTGCGCCCTTCGTACTGGTGCTGCTCGCTCGACAATACACCGTGCTGCGTTTCGGGAAAGGAAACGGGCACATTGCGAGGGTAGTAAGTAGAGTAGCTCAGTAGCTCTGAGGTTTTGCGTGTTGTGTGATTGTCGCATTTCGACAGTTGGAAATCTGCAAAAGACGTAATTAATATAGGAAAATCAAAAAGGAAATGCTCCTCAAGTTCTAAAGTTCCATATTTCTACTATGTTGCTTATCTACATCGCGGACAAAGTATCAGTCATATCCAACATCCACGTATATCATAGGAATCTGTCCCTTCGTCTATAATGTCCTACTGACGAGGTGCAATATTTGGCCAACTATTTATTCTCTGCAACATTGTGGGATTCTTGATATGCAGGGTGGAGAGTAAGCCGGAGGCCAATGCAGGTTTGTGCTTCTTTCCGTCCTTGCGAAATGAGTAAGAACACGGGTATAGGTATGTACGTGTACACGTGTGTGGTGGAATGCACACGTTAACGCACAGTCAAGATCAAAGTCAAAGTTATTGTAGCAGAGCACATCCCCATTGTATTCTTGAACTCGTAGTAATACTTCAAGCCGATCCAGCCTTCATATGTTGTCAGAATGCCCTCTATCCAAGCATTTCACGCGTCCTACTCATTACTCCACGCCCGTAGCATCATGCAAACCATGCTCAGTCAGGAATCCAACCCAACCAACCGTTCATGACATGAATCCAATAGTGGCGTGAAAACTTCCACATCCCAGCCCATGTACGCGACACCTACTTCCTGCTCATCCAGCTGAACTTTTCCGAAATCTTGCTCGTGACTTCACTCAAGCTGATGCCTGCGCTACCACTACTTCCACCACTGACACCGGTCTTGCCGCTCTCTGAGAGACCACTTCCCAGTCCCTGACGACGCCGCCCATTCTCGTCTCCTCCACCAAAGATGCGTTCGAATTTAGCTTGTAGTCGCCCTTCTGCGATCGCCGAGATAATGTTGATGATTCCGAAAGCACTTGATCCGATGGCTCGGAATATAGCCAGCGCAGCGACAGCCCACAAGATGAAGGTCAAGTAGAAGTTACTTCCGACGTGGCTCCCGACGGGGTACGCCTCTGACACGGCCATGGCAAGTACAGCATTGCAGGTCAACCAGATGGACACCATGTACGTCCGTACAGATTTGTAGTAGTCCTCCTGCAGCTGATTCTCGCTGACGGGCGGTTTCGCTACTTCGATCCTATCCCGCAGGTTTCGGAGTGCCACGTCATAACCCGAGTCGATGTCCAGTTGTTCAGAGGGCATTTCAACTTCGACAGTATTACCGCCGGGCCCAATTGCCTTTGCAGCACCGAGATCGGTGTGTAGAACATTGTCGCCTTTGGTTCCCCATGTCACGTCGTGAGTGTTGCAAAAGGCGTACACTTGTAAGGTACAAATGTATGACGGTAGAAGAGCAAAATATTGTCCTGCGCTGGTGAACATGTGCCATGGATCCAGGTACAAGAATGACATCAGGAAGTACAAGCCGACAGTGCTTATGGTGCTAACAATGAGGTTGGTGAAAATGTTGTTGCCGAGCTTGTATGGTTGGTCGGGATCTGTGTTCTCCAAGGCATGCGTGGTGAGCTGTTTGATGACAATGTACAGTGCGGCAAAGGTCGTGTAGGCCATGATGACTGAGTAGGTGACCATGGTACCTGTGAAGAGCTTCTTCGCACCCTGCGGTCGGTTGCCCAAACTGAGGATGAATTGCAGACAGATCAAGAGGACGGTGATGTAGCGCAGAACGACGAAGATGTATTTCCCGATATGGTGGCCAAATGGATCTATGACGGGATCTGCAAGGGACCCGGCGATGAAGTAGAAGGTGAGGTAGAAGTTGGCGAGGGAGAAGAAGGTGAAGAGGAGGGAAATGAACTGGTAGATGAACTCGACGTGCAGCAAAATCTTCCGGGTCAGCGTGTGGTCGGTATGCCAGATTTGCTTGAAGTGGACCAGAGAGTAGACTGCTGCGAAGAAGGCCCCGTTGAGCCAGCGTCGCCTCTGGGAGATGAATTCCGGGACAGCGTCTACACTTCGTCAGTACTTTTTCTCCTACCGGGGTCTGTGTGCTTACCTGGCACGTCAGTCTCGCCATAGGCGCTCTTGACGAACTTCAATACCCATTGCTCGCCCCGCTTGGCAACAAGCTCCCAGCACAGAATGCGATCTTCGGCGAGATACATGTTGGCGGTAAAGACATCTGCGTCGCGCCCATGCAGTGTCTCTCCTTTGAAATATTGACTGAGAGGACCATGGCCGGTGGCATCGTTCTGGAGTGCGTAGTATCGATATGCGGATAGCGCACCAGGCAGGACCGTGATATAGCCAAACACCGACTCGAGTGGCTTGTCAAGAATGTTACTCATCTTGTACTCGAAGTTCTGCGAAGCCACCAGCGGATTGAGGAGACCCATCCAGCCCTTGCCCTTGTCCGCCTTGATCTCACCAGCAGCGCCGGCAACATTGGAGTCTTGGTCAAATGCCTTCCACAAGTAGTACAATGCTTTCGAATCCGGTTTCGTGCCCACATCCAGCAAGATACAAACATTGGGTGTCAGAGCTCTTCCAAACGCGTTGAAGAACCATCGATGTGAGTTCAGTTTCTTCTTGTTTTTCTCCTTCAGGCAGAAAATCATCTGACACGGGACAATCCCCTTCTCAGCTCCCTTGAATTTGAGGCTCTCGTCCAGGGAGACTTGGGTCGTATATTCGTACACGTGTGCCGTAACTTCCTTCTGGTTGACCACATTTTTGGCTATACCATCCTGGTAAACCCCCAGAGCTGCCAGAGCATTCAGTGTCCGTGGGTGCACTTTCTGTCTCCCGTCGGCGATGATGCATACGACGATTTTCTGCCAGCCATCTTTGCCCCAGGTCCTGGATTTCGTCCTCGAGCAGAAGTGGGAGATGTTGCGCATGATGCCGTGCATTGTCCTGGTAAACTCAATCTCGCCTTCATTGTACATGGTGACACAGATGAAGAGCTCTGTTTCCCTCACGGTAGGTCCAATGTTCTGGCGCAACTTGTAGCCTTGTACAACGAAGTCGTCAGGATCACATGTAACCGCCGTGTATCGCATGTGCGTAAACTCTCTTTCATCTCGTCTCGGCAAGAAGCTGTGGAGAATGGTGGGAATCTTGCATTCGAGGATGAGTTCTCCGTTGATCAGCCTGACCTCTTTCTTCGCCATCTGGGCAGATCTCAGACCTCTGCGGTCCTGTCTGCCTTCCGGTGCAGGCCCGTAAGTATCAAACTTGTCGTCTGTTCCGTCATCATCCTCAGTGAATGTTGAGTCGGTCATGTACGAGTGCGCAGACTTCAGACTCGCTCTCGGATCGTTGTCGGGCACAATTGGACGCCCATTGACAAACACATCGTTGTCCGACTCTGGTTCAGGCATTGGTATTGTAGTCTCTACGGCCATGCTCTTTGCTGAGAATAATGGTGCTGGAGGTAGGGGTCTGCGTGGACTTCCGCCATATTGTGACGACGGCGTACCTGGTCGCGGGCTACCATTGATATCTGGAGGCTCATACGAGACGGTGGATGCTGGAGGTCTGGGCCAATCTGTTGACACTCGCGAAGGCGTCGAGGGTCTGAGAGGCGCGCGAGGGTTTGCTGTGGGTATAGGTATCGAAGGCGCTCTTCCCAGCCTCGAACTGGGTCTTGAACTATATGTGCTCGACGCTGTGGCTCGGTACCTGTCTGGCGAAGTTCGACCTGCTGTAGGGGCTCTATCGGAAGAATTTCGGTTAGCCTGGTGCATTTTCTTCAATGTCACTGTAGCCTTAAGAGGGAGCGCACGGCCGATGAAACTAGTAGTTTCGCGATCGCGCCGTAGGGTGTCTCCGGCTTCAGCGACGAGGGAAGACCACGATGAATGCAGTCCAGGGCCTCGTGCGGCCGATGACACGATTTCATCTTCCCAGCTGACGCGCGACGGCTTTGGAGGTGCTACAGGCTTGTGCCTGGGTGAACGAAGCAAATCGTAACCAGGCGGTGCAGGAGATGTGGATGATGCGACATACGGTCTGTACTCTTCTTGACCCTGCGGGAGCAGCCTTAGCGACGAGTTGTTCCCGGGCAGACTCATGTTCTCTTCCTCGAGAGGAGTATTTACATATGAGGGAGGGCCGTCGACATAACTGGGCGGTACACGAGTTGGGGTCGGTGGTTCGTCCATGTTCTTCTTTGGGTGGGAGGTTTGTCTACTTGAGACGCAAGACAATTCAGGTCAGATTGATCATAAACGATTCCATGCGCAGCTAACAATACATTGGATGCGCAGGGACAGTATGGTTCATGCGGAGGACTATTGGCCGAATGGCGGCAGAAGTTTGGAGATCAATGCGTGTGTCGTCGCTTCCCCATTGGGAAACACACAAGTCGTCGGCAGGGCAACCATGAACTCGGCACCACAGCCTTGCATCTCAGCCTTGTACCTGCGTCATTGCCCGAAATAGTCCTCGCGTTTCGTTGCGTCACGCTACAGTGACCATTTTGCAGCTCCCTTTGTCACCGCATACATGTCATCTTCGACAAAGACCAGGCCATCGAGCTACTGGGCACGCCAAAGGAGTCGCCGACCCAGCTGCATGCTAAGTCCAAATCTTCTGTATTTCGGATGTCCGGATGCGGACGGCCAACAAAGACGGCATTGTGCGCAGGCACTCTGAGCCCCGTTCCCATATCATGGCCTCGGAGAATCTGTCCGGATAGCAAGGTATTGCTTTACAGCTATGCTGTTACCTCGACGTCAAATTCGTAGAACCGGCCCCTGCCTTCTCACAAACCCGTCAGCCGCCATAGCATGTGCCAGTGGTACAAGAAAGTGTACCTTTGTGGTTACGAAGGCATTCCGACTCAGAAATTGAACAGCTGCAATCACTACGTACCAATACCAGCCTGCGAGGTAGCATCGGCCACGCCAGGACTGGTGCCCGTCCTTCAGAAATGCCCCGGTTGCCAGGTCAAAGAAGCCAGAGGTTTTCTGCCCTCGTCGCATTACATAGAAAGAGAACCCCCCAAGCCATCGAAATGGTCATCCCATGCACAGCCACTACAGACCCAGGCACACTCAGCCACGACGAACCTGCGCACGAGGCTATTCTACGGTGAAGGTACTGATGTTGACTACGACTTCAGTGAATACAGCTACCTTAGCCAGTACGGGAAGCGCTCTGTTACAAAGGACTTGAACGAGTCTGCACCGAGCAAGCGTTCTCGCACCTCTCAGGAAGAATACGTCAACTCGTCTGGTGCACCACAAAACCGACTTAGGCATCGCATAAGCAATGTGGAAAGAGATATCTACTCTCAGCCTGTGTTCGACTCCCTCCTGATGGCGCCAGCCAACTCTTACAGCACCAACGTCGGACCCTACAAAGTCGGCGGCACAAGATGCGGATTTGTTCCTCAACCATTGAACTTGGTAAGAGAGGAGCCTGAAATCCAGTGGCAGTCCGACTATAACCGGGGAGCAGGAAATTCAGCTGCTGACCAAGCTGTGTCACCCGGGTCAATGAGGTCATACACGCGTCGCAAACACAACAGCGACGGTCCTCTGATTTCTCCTATGTCGCTATCGAGCCGACACAGCCTTTCACCAAAGGTGTCCCCTACCACTCGGATGCATGAGGGCATGCATGCGGCAGAGTACGACCAAGGAACGTGGCAACCACCCCAATTCCAACAGCCACGACCGTTGCCTCGACACCAACGCGTCTGCGCACAAGGTCAAGGCCAATCAAAGCCAATATACCAGCACGCGCAATACCGATTGCCAAATCTAAGCTCCAACTCGCCCTATGAGCCTTTCTTCGACAACCTCAAACATGATGTCCCGCATGGCCATTACACCTTAACCCAGCCTCAGCAGTCAGAACCCTTCCAGCGGTTGGGCTTCAAGGGTCATGATGAAGTGCCGCAACGGCACGAATCCACGCTTACAGAGGTCTCCGCGAGACATGCAAGGCAGGCACCGCCAGCCGCGGACCACACTTCGCTTCGAAGCAGGCCAAAAGCTCCGCTCAGCTCACAATGGCTAGACCCACAATGGCTGGCTAGGGCGAAGGAGTTCTTGGGAGGACGCCAGGACAAAACTCGATCCAGCTTCTACTGAAGACAGGTGGGTGGTTACTCTGTCTCTATGCCTTACGACCTTGTCATTCTGTTTCTCTCCCCGAGTATATTTCTATCATTCGCCCCGTCCATATATACCCTCGAATATGATTCTTTTCTCCTTTCAAGTCTTTCCCTCCATTCTCCTCCTATGTGTTTTGTCATGATTGACTTCCAGTCGCGGTCCCATCCATCGCCAGTGACTCGAGTCTACGCATGCGGACATGCTAAACAAAGAATCTATTGTCTGCTCTCCCTTTGTTCCATTCCACATTGACCGACATGGCACACCACCCCCTTTCTCTTTTCCTTGCCCTCCCACTCTCGATTTCTCCCAGTCCTCGACCACGCCTTCCCAGCAAACTCGAAGCAACAGCTAAAGAACCCCGCCAACCTCAACCTCAACCACCGCAACACTAACACTCCCAGCCAAGATGTGCCACCGTGAAGTCGAAAGCTGGTCCTGCGGCTGCGAAGTCGGCGTGACCAAACCATGCGACTACCCGACCCTAGCATGCCAGTCTGGCGCCTTCTTCGCCCCGCGACTCGACCACCCCTACACCTGCGCGGACTGCGCCCAGCAGAGCTACCGAACAGGCCATGCGGGTACTCTCCCGATGACGTCGCCGAACAAGAAGCGCTCCTCGTCTCAGTTCGAGAACGACGACCCCCGCGCGTACGCCCAGCGCGTGATGGACAAGCGCTTGTCCCGCCCCATGGATCTGGACCTGAACCTGTCCCTCCCGCCGAAGCGCTCCCGCACGTCCTTGCAGAAATGGTCCTCCGACGCACCACAGCACATAGGCCGGCGCAACAACGCCTACCAACCCCTCGACTACGGCTACACCGGCAGCGAGGGCGACATCGATATGGACCTCTCCTCCCGCCTGACCAATCCCGCCCAGGACCTGGCCGCCATCGCCATGCCCGACGCCCCGCCCGCAGCATACAACCTCCCGGATTCTCATCGGCCAGCTAGAAGCGGCAGCCTCCACCGGATTGGCAGCGTGGTGACACGGCGGCCGACGAAGCGCAGTCCCACCTTCCCAGACGGTCCGATCAGCCCAATCAGTCGGCGTAGTCCGATCAGCCCGCGCAGCCCGCGGAGTCCAGAACCGATGCGCCGCGTCTCTCCTCGACAGATGACGACACCGTATGCAGAGCCGCGACATCGCCAGCTTCAGTACGGGCATCAGCCATACCGCCCGCAACACCAACCGCAACACCAACAACAACTGCGTTTTGATTTCGACGGCCACCCCACCTACTCGGCCCTGAAAGACTCTATCGAGCGCGAAATCTACTCCGGAAGATGGACCCGCGCGCAGATCCAGGCCTGGCACCGCTTCACCCTGCTGAAGCCCCAGGACCAATACGAGCTGCTGCACACTTATGCTGACTCTATGGCTGCACCGCCGTTGTCCCAGCAGGCCGTCGCGGCCATGCAGAGCAGGAAGAAAGCCAAGCCCGTGGGACAAGCCAAGAAGTATGCCGGTTGGCGGTCGTGGACGAATTGGTTTGGTTGGAGGAAGTAGTGGTGGGAAGTGCAAGTGCAGGTACAAGCACCAGCACTTATGTCTGTTGCACGGGGGGGTTAGGAAGGAGGGAAGAAGATGGCATGGGGTAAGTGAGATGAGCTCATGGTGGTGTTTGAAGACGGTGTTATACCCGGGCTCGGGTGCTGGCGACGAAGACGAAGACGAATGACGGAGATGAAGGCGGAGACGAAGATAATGAGGGTTCTTACTGAGCCTGGAGTCGTGGACAGACAGAAACAGACGAGCCGGCCTGGCGCTTTGTTCCGACTCCTCGGTGTCAGAGACTGACTGGGCGTTGTTATTCCATCCGTAGTTTGGAGTATTGTTTGCTTACCCTTGGTGTTACAATTGCGACTCTGCTGACCGATTGCTTAATAGGTTATCATATCCATGTTTTCCCTGTTCCTGTTCCAGTTGCATTTCCATCCTTAACTCTTAAGACGCTGCTCGCACCGCGACTGTACAGCTACTGTAGCTCCACGCGTAGAAGATGTCTTTGACCACTGCCAGTCACTTTGAACTTCGAAGGGAGCAAGGTTGGCGGTTCTGGACCAATGCAAGGGCATTGATTTGTTCAAGAAAGGAATTTCCTATCAAGGAATCCGAGAAACGAGGTCCCTTCATCCAATCAGCCCAATGGATGGCTGTGCTCGTCACTCCCCATTACAAGCATAACTACCAGGTAATTGCACATCTCATCGGCTACGGTACGAGCCTTTGAGTCCAGTCGAGGCCCCTCTGTCCAGCATGCGTGGCTTGAGTTTCCGGAACGAAGCCACAGAAACCGTCCCTATCCAAGCGCCTAACGCGCCTATCATGCTGTATGGGGTATCTCTAACTCAGCTCAAACAAAGGAAAAAGAGACAAAGCAAACAAAGGAAAAGGAGACAAAGCAAACAATCGACGACGAACAGGTCGGCTCCTGGGGACAGAATCTTCAAGCTGTGCGCCATCAAGCCATCAAGCCATTCCTCCCCAATCGCCGACCACAACCGCGTCATATTGCACCACAGGGTGCTCAACGCCGCGGTGTTTCCGGGATCTCCTAGATTCCGGCAAACCGCTTGGTGTTGTCGTCAGCGGGTTCGTACTTGATAGAATCCATATTAGTTTCATTGTTCGTGTTCTTCGTGGGTGTCGCAAATGGAATGGGTGAGTTCGAAGTGAAGAGCGGTAGATCTTGCTTTGTTCTTTGTACTGGGGATGTTGCTCCAAAAGGGTTTGGTGCCGCGGACAGCGCAGATTCTGCATCCGTTCCCTTATGCAAAGGATTCCGAGTCGCCGTATTGGTGGTCGGATTCACAAAAGTGGCAACCGCATCTGGGATGGGAGCATAAGGGACGCCAGCAAGAGCATTCAAGGAAGGAAGTTCAGGGTCTGCCATGAGTGAACCTACGGGCAGCTCATGGGCGATTGAGACCTGCGAGTCTGCTACTGGTGCTGCAACCTGAACGGCAGTAGATGGTGGCAGGACGTCCAGCTCTGGATTCTCCGACACCAGTTCTGTAGTCCCATCTGTGGATGTTCGGCCGGCAGATGAAGCCAACTTCTCAGTGATGACAGAAGGTGCTGCCGGAGCTGTCAGAACCTCAGGAAACTGCTGAACTTCTGGCTGCACGGGGTTTGGCTGGATTGGCACCGGGTTCCCAGAGAGCGAGGCAGCAGCCGCTACTGGTGCCTTCTCGGATACCCTTGTGGATTTAGGAACTGCAGGCTTCCTGGGTGCTCGGGGCTTCTTCTGCTGGACATCAAGCACTGTCTGTTGCAGTTTGGCGTCATGCTCTTCTGCGGTTGGCACCTTCAGCTTGATGCTTATCTTCTTCATGCCATTCGTCAAGCCATCCACACCGTCTGGTTTCGCCGTTGGCTTGGTCACGTCCTGAGACGACAGAGACGACTCTCGTTTGATGCCATTTCCAACCTTCGCTTCAGTAGGATTGGTGGAAGGTATCGTCGGTACAGGCGGGACAGTAGCTTTCGCTTTGCGTGGACTAGCTTTTGGCTTTGAAGGCACCTTCGTGGCAGCTGGCACTCTGGGCTTTCTTACTGGAGCCGGTTTTCCGGCTTGCTCTGGAACCACAGAGGGTGGCCTGGAGGGTACTTGAGCGGTTCGCGGCCTCGACACAACCTCGTTATCTCCCGCCTTTTCATCCGACAACTTCATGCCTTGAAAGCTTGACAAGATACTCGAAGCATCGCTGGATCGACGGCGCATTCTACCGTAAGGTACCTCTGGCTGCTTCATTGTCGGATCAGGCAGGTCACTAACTGCTGCTATAGTCGTCCGACGACTAGCATTTCGAGAGGCTGCGCGCACAGCAGGAAGGCCAGGCGGCTGCACCTTAGCTTTCCGAACGCGTAATTGCATTGGCTCGTCTGATGGCGCCGGCACGCCAACGGCTGATTGCCGTTCTCGTCGAGCTTTGGTGGCTTCTGCATTGAGCTCTTCGTGCGTACAACTTAAAGTCTGTCGATTGCTTGGGATTATGACTCGGGACAACTCATATGCTGCGACGGCCCAGTCGACATCTGGCGGTGGGGGCTCGTACTTGGCTTCAAGAGACATTCTGGCCTGAAGCGCAGTAAGAGATTGCCGCTCACGAGCATGATGAGTCATCTTCAGCGTAGAAGCCTGAGTCGGAGACGCATAATCACCGGTCTTGTCCTTGTAGGATTTGGCGGTCGAAGGTTGCCGACCCGCGACTGCAGCTTCAAGGTCTTCTAAGTTCTGCAACGTCCACCAGTCTGCAGAATAGGTGAACTCGGAGGAGGTGTTGTTGACTTGATCAACCCAGTTGTTGATCGTCTGATATGTATTCCCGCCGACCGTCGAGAAACCCTGTGAATTGGGTGTAACAGTGTCATTAGCCAGGCCACAAATATGGCTGAGCACGCCGGAGGTCAGGGCGCGATCACTGTATCCGCCTTCAAGCACGCTGATAACGCGGCCCTCAACACCAAGGTTGTCTTCTTCAGCGAGCTTGGCAATGTCGGATGTGAAGCGTGCATAAAACTCGGTGGGCACATTGACACTGTGTCGCTGCATGCCCGCGCCCTCGTGCTCGCTCGCGTCAAATCCAGCGGAGATGAAGATGGCAGCTTTCGCTTGCTGATTTCCAGCCGCGCGTAATCTTGCTGTATGGTGACGCAGAAATGTTCTTGTCTTCTCGAGGAGTATCACATACTTTGTTTCGTAGAGCTTCCAGAACTCTTGATGCGTCGTCCAAGCCTGAAGGTGTACATTCCAGACCGACTGGCCGTGTGCGTTCTCGATGCACAAACTCGCTTTCTGAATCTTCTCCTCGTCACCCCATTCGCAGGGATATGAGTTTATGTCGTGGAGACTGTAGTAGCCGATGGGAGTCTTCTTGTGCGCCGGTGCATTCTTAGCGGCACTATGAGCCTTGCGATTCTGATCCCAAGCAATATTCTGCGAGCCATCTCCGTGGTGCAGATCAAAATCAATGATTGCAGCATGCGTAAGGTCATGGTTCATAGCCGCATAGGCAATTCCAACGTGGACATTATTCAGCCAGCAGAAGCCGGATGGGTAATTGGACGAGCAGTGATGGCCCGGAGGTCGAATGCAGACGAAAGCTCGCTTCGTCAACGGAGACGAGAAGACTGTGTCCACGGCGTCGCAAACACCACCCAGACATCCTTGGAAGGCCGCCAAAGATTCTGCACACAAATAGAGATCTCCCTCGTGTAGTTTGGGAAGTGGGTGCCCACTCTCGTCCTTGCCGTATCCGATCGGTCTCACCAACTCTTTTCCATTGAGGGCCAACTTGCCTTCTGCGGTGTCGCACATGATCTGCAGTTCCTCCATCCACTTTGAGCCATGCACAAACGCCACAGACGGATGCGTGAGGGGGATGATGCGAGCCGTCTTGCGAATCTGAAAGGGTATGTTTCGCACGTTCGAAGGGTCATGCCTGGGCCGAGGAGCAAATTCACCTTCGGCGTGGCGCCCTCCTAGCCGCACATAGGCCGCCGATGCGCCCAATACGGTGGCATGGATCCTTTCAGGTCGCTCGACGATCGTAGCCAGGGCACTCTTGGTCGAACGCGGGCGCGCAAAGCGATGGCCATAACATGAGTCGTGAACGAGGACAAGCACTGGCGCTTGCAGAGATGTATGCGCCTCCAACTCCTTTCCGAAATACTCTTGAGCAACGGAATTTGCCGTTACAGGTGGCCGGTCGGTGACAGCCATCTTGCCATTTATGACCGGAGACAGAGGATTCAGGTTGGAAGAGGCTCGCCGGTACTGAGGAGTACTGCCTTTTACGTTGCTCAGGCTGGACGTCGATCTGCGCAAGGGCGGGGTGTTCTGCCTTTCTCCCCGAGAACTTGCGACAGAAGGTGAGCGTGAGGGGGGCTTTGGTGAGAGAGATTTGGTCGTGGGCGGCGCAGGGGTGTGATAAGGGCTGCGCATGGGTGATGATGGTGGCAAAGGCACCTGTGCAGCAGAGTGCAATAGCGACGGGTGTCCGTGAGTGTGGGCGTGGGCGAGGGTCTGGTCGTGGTGATTCACTTTGATCGCGGGTGACGCGAGTGAATGTGCTCTTGTCGCGTTAACGTTGGAATCCGAGGAGCCGTCATGTTCGATGGACGGCGCTGGTATATCGGGGTCCATCATCTTATACTCTCTCCGTGTCTCGCTGCTAGATCGTGTTGTCTGAATTTCTGATTAATGTGTTGGACCTCAGATAAAGCAGGGAGGTCCCTGTCGCAAACTCAAGGCGGGCTCTGCCTGCACAACAACGTCATTTAACGGTCGCGTCTCAAGCCCCAGCACGCGTCGTGTATTCCCCCCACCGTAACGAACCAACTCCGAAGCAAGGCGGCCTCGAACGCACAACTGGTCTCCCATCCGCCCATCTCTGGGCGACCTCTGAAAGCCTTCATGACACGGACTGGCCCGCAACATCTATCGGTTGTTGCGCACCGTGTCTAAGATAAGGTACCAAATGGCCTGACATGCTACCCGAATAGAGATGAAAGCCTCAGGTAAAAGTCGCGTGAGGTGTATCTTTTTGGGCTTCCCCAGTTCTCTACCAGGACTCCGTGGCAGTCAGACCGCAGCTCTTCAAATCCCTGGTCAATCTCGAAGGCATAGTCGCTGGAACAGTCATTGTGCTGGCAGAGTCTCTCAAGCTCCTACAGTCAACTTTCAGCCGGTCGCCAGAGCACTCTCCGTGGCAGCAAAGCGAAGTTCGTCCAGCAAGACTGCCCCAAGCAACACAAGGTAGGACACTCGCTTTCAGTTCTTCTTGCCCTCAAGACAGCCTCCCGCACGCGTGCTCAATCTCTTTTTGCGTCTTTGGTCTGCTCAGAGCCAGAGGCCCAAACAAGGGTTCAAGGATATCCGGCAGCGGGTACCTCCGTATCCTCCGTGATCTCCAATTCCCATGCACGACCATCTCGCTCATTATCGGCCTTACTCCCGGTTGGTTTCATTAGACCGGAAACGTGATATCAACGCTCACTCATATCAAGCAGCCCGCACGCTTCTTATTTCTCGGGCGATAGACGGAGTACACTCTATTAACACCTCCTCTCAGCACAGACACAACAATGACCTCCCCTCTACCCCGTATCCTCGTCTTCGGCACCGGTAGCGTCGGCGCCGTCTACGCCTGGATCCTCTCCCGAGCCGTCACGCCTTCCAACATCTACTGCATCTGCCGCTCAAATTACACCGTGGCCTCCACCACGGGCTTCACCATCAACAGCACAATCTTCGGGCAAAACCTCAACCTGAAACCCAACGTCGCGCGCACCGTCGAGGAAGCCGTCTCCCTCCTACCCTCAGGCGACCAGTTCGACTACGTCGTCGTCACAGCAAAAGCCATCCCCAGCACGCCGAGCATAGCAGAGCAACTGAGGCCCGCGGTCGGCCCTAACACCATCATCGCCGTGATCCAGAACGGCATCGCAGTCGAAGAACCCTACGCGCAACTCTATCCAACCAACCCGTTATTGTCCTGCGTAGTCTACCTCCCGGCCACGCAAATCTCCCCCGGCGTCATCGTCCACAAAGAAATCGATCTCCTCCACATAGGAACGTACCCTTCCAACTCTGCCACGTGTCATCCCGTAGCCGAATCGTTCTCCGCGCTCCTGACCCAGGGCGGCGGCCGCACCAAAGTCCACAGCGACGTCCAAGCCGCACGCTTCAGCAAACTGCTCATCAACGCCGCGTGGAATCCCGTCTGCGCGCTCTCCCTGTCCAGGGATGGCGAGTTCCTGCACGCCTCGCCGCCCGAGATCTCCCTCAACCTCATCAAATCGCTCATGCTCGAGATCGCGCACATCGCCCAGGCGTGCGGCTACGATGGTATCAATGCCGAGACGGTCGAGTATCAGATCAACCGCGCAAAGGTGCGCGAGTTGCCCGGTGTCGAGCCGAGCATGATGGCAGATGCCAAGGTTCACGCGAGAATGGAGGTCGATGCTATTGTGGGCAACGCGGTCAGATTGGCGGAGAGCAAGGGCGTGGAAACGCCGCTCCTACGAGGCATCTATGCGCTTGTCAAGGCTTTGGATCTGAGTTTCGCGAGGGAGCGAGAGGCCAAGTTGAGGGTGTTGGAAGACGTAGGCTTGGATGGGGAGAGCAAGACGTGACGTTGAAGTCCAACATGACAGGACATGTTGTGAGCTCCGGAATGCAGGACCATCCCCAACAGATGGTTACTATACGCCCTAACGACAGAGAGGATGGAACATTTTACGTGACGGCCAGAAGAACCGCCGTCCATCTCATGAAACAGACCGTAGATTTCCCACCAAGGCGCAAGCCAGACGTTCTTCAGAGTCTAAGAGTATATACCGGCCACGTATTACAAGTACAGATAGGTGTCAGACGCTAGAATGGCGGCAAGACCTGAACAAAGATCTTGCATCATTCCTGAGGCCGAGCCCTATGATCCATCACATTTCAACCCCAGCTTTGACTATGCCGACACGAACCGGCGATGGCATCTTTGCGCCGGACTCAACATGCCTCATTGCCCAATACAACACCACGCACGAGCGAGGAAACCGGTTTCCTCAAAGTGTGTTCGGACTGAACGAGCACTCCTTCCTCAAGCCAGCGCGAACGAGAAAAGAATGCTCTATCATATGTCGATCCCTACCCCTTTGAGTGCGTCGACCGCCCACTCCGGTGGAGGCTGACTTTCAAAGTATTTCACGAAGAAGTCCTTACAGAAAGCAGGATATCGATCTTCGAGAATGGCAGTCCTGATTCGTCCCATGAGCGAGAGCAAGTGGTGGACGTTATGCATGGTCAATCTAGCATGAGAAGAAAAGATCAGTCGACTAGCCAAAGTGAATGTGGGGGAGCAATCAACAGGTGCAAGGGGAGTTTGAAACGTACAGATGAGCTCCAACCGTTTCTTTTGCAGCAAGATGATAGATGTACGCTCTTGAGACCCCAAGTCCTCCATCTTGTTTCGCTCGACAGCAGGTGCAAGAACAGCCTTCTTCAACGGGACCGAAGTCCTCAGCGTATCGAGCATGTTTGAGATTCAAGACGCCACACGCGGTGATAGCATTGCCGAAGCGCTAGATAGGCCACTTGTCAGAGGCACGGTGCTCCAGAAGGCTGATGGCAGCCTTGGTAATGAAAGTGATCTCCACTTACAGCGGTTCTTGTCGGCCATACGCAGTCGAACATATCCGCTCCAAGGGCCACTGCAACGACGATATCTTCGGGATAGCCCTAATAAAATCAGTGCTTGCGCCACGTAAAGTGAAGAGGCTTTGCGTACAATACCCATGACATATCTTGGCTTCTTTTCAGGGAACAAGCTCGTACATGTGTCAACCCTATCGAGTATTGTAAGTTTGTCTCATGATACGCCAAATGTAAAGCAGAAGTGGTCGGGTGGCGATTGCAAGCATACACTTTGCAGAAATCAGTCTTGGCCTCTCCTCCGGAGAGACCACCAATAGCGATGCCTGGGGTATCCCTCTTGACCATCTCCAGGCAGCATTGTCTCCTCATCTCCAGGTTGAGACCGCCCTGAATGATGCAAAAGAGGTTTTGAGATTCGGGATACTTGTGCGCGACGATACATCTATCAAGCCATCGGATAGATCGTTCCATGGCTTCCTTCATACGGGCCCGGTCGGGCGACGTAGTTTGAATGACATCGTCAAGCTGCATCATAATGTCCGAGCCGATAGAGTTCTGCAACGACATTGAGTGCTCGGGAGTGAGTAGCCTGAGCGCAACATGAGATTACTTGTCCGAGAGACGTTTAGAGGCTTGAGTGGGGAGGACGTACATAGGACTGCCGTCGTGAGGACTAAGGAACCGCACACCTTCCTCCGTGATCTTTGCCAACTTCAGTAATGAAACCATTTGAAAACTTCAACATTGCAAATCAGTCACTGGTCCGGCAGACGCAGGAAAGCTGAGGGATGTGCTGTGCACCAACCAACCCGCCACTATCAGTCAGAATATTGTAATTCCAGCCTTGTAACTTGTGGGCTCCACCAATGGTGTCTAGCACCGCTTGGCCAGGCTTCAAGCCCAGGTGGTATGTATTATTCAAACACAGCCTGCAACCTGTCTCCTCCAGCTGTTCTGGCGTAAGTCCCTTGAGAGATGCCTGTGTCGCGACGGGCATGAACATTGGTAGCTCGACTGCGCCATGGGGCAATTGAAGGGTTGAGGCACGAGCCTTGGATGTCTATGGGGTTTGCGCCGGAATTTGTCAATTTCGGCCGTGCTTTTGCAGCTGGGTAAGGATTGACGAGTGTCAGCGTACCGAACATCGGCCATGGAGATCAAAGGTCAGCGCTGAGGGTTTCGTAGCGGTCGACATGGTCGCGACGGGTCCGAACGCATGGGGAATGGCAGCAGTTGCCCTCTTCGTGGCGGTGAAGATGTCAAGTCGTGATCTCGTTGCGTGGAATGCCCAGCGCATATGATATCTGACGATGGCAATGCACCCGTCCGCTGTGCTAAGTCGCACGGGGTTGTATCCAGCACGTCAGTCTTTGCCTACGGGTACTTGACATGTGGCGGAGAGCGCGTAGGACAAGAAAAAGCGAGGAAACGAAATACTACAGTGATGGGAGGTGAGGTGAAGATGATTTGGAGGTGAGTTGGGTGTGAGTTGGAGTTGGAATGTTTCTCTGGCTCGGAACTTTTCCTATGCGCAACGCTTCGTGCCTTCCCTCTGTTCGCGCAAGGTCCTTTAGTAGCCCCCCACCGACTCGATGCCCATCCTGCTGGGCCATGGGCGTACATACTACACCTAGTCCTGATCTGTGACACGACAGGTCATGGTGCACAAACGTTTGCCCCCACGACTGAATGCAAGGTTATTCCTGCAAAATCCGCATGACGCACGTGTGCTGATCATGTGCCCCGAAATGCCCAGGCACGCAATAGAGGATTCGGCAAGTTGCCGGGACGGTGCACAGGTGAGATTAGAACAGATCCCTGGGGTGGCATGGCCTTAACTAGATCCTGCAATTCCCTCTATCTGTAAAAGCGGTCAAAAATTTGACCGAGGACTGAGACCTCTCCCTCGCTGACAGGTGCACAGTCGAAGCTCGGACAAGTGATCAGACTGGCTTCTAATCTCTCTTCTCGTATCATGGATATCGAGGAAGAATCATGCGGTGAGTATGGAACAAAGGAAAAGAAGTCCAATCCCAAAGAAAACCCGCCTTCAGCTGTACCATGGCCGCTTGGCCCCGTAACGCCATCGCTATGCCCATATGAACCCCATGTTTAGGCTCTGATGAGTACAGCAGGTATCGAGACAATCAATCCTCCTCGAAACTTCATCTCATAGTCGGCCTGCACGTTTGTATCAAGCTGAAAGCACTGTCCTGTCATCCAACACCGGTTGCAGTTGGTAATTAGCGTGCCCAGGGGCCACCGTAGCCAGACTGAGCGCGGTAAACTGTTGACTGGCCGGCGGTGATCGAAGGATTGCGCAGTTTCGTGCAAGCCACCTCGGCAGCATCTTCTTTCGCGTTGTTGAGGTATTGTCCGTCGTACCAGTATCTGGCTGCAAGGTTCTCACCTCGGATTGTGACTGTAGCCGACCAGGCTGTGCGGCCACCTAACAGTGCGAATTGCAGGTTAGTCTCCAAAAATAAGTAGGTGGAAGGATGCGGTTCTCTCCACTGTATGCAAGAGGCTAGACTTACCTCGACGATCAGAGACAATGTTGAACTGAGGTGTGGGCAGTCGCTGTTTGCGACATTCAGCTGGCCAAGATTTAGCGTCGCTGGGAACATCTGGGTTGACATGACCTCGGGCTTACCAGCGAGCTCCTCCTGCCACGTCTTATGGGTTTTCGTTGCCATGTCGACGATTAGGAACTGGTGAGGAACAGGCTTGATTGTGCTCGGTTCACCTGTTCCACGTCTTGATGCCGGAGCTCCCTCAAAGTATGAAGCTGAGGGTTGAGAGAGTGTGAAGAGAGAACCACGCTGCGTGGCAACCGACCACCGCAGACTTTATACGCGACGGATACAAGACACACAGGTCAGTACCCAGCTACCGATCCTGAGAGGTGTCAGAGTGGGTGACCGTATCAGAAGGGAGGCTGCAGCTGCCTCCAGTACCTGTTCCAACTACAGGCGCCCTGTGTCCTAGTACCGCTTCATTTCATGGGCAGCGGAGAGCAGATTTGAGCATTGTGGAGGTAGGTTGGGTTCTGTGCAACGTGATCTAGATCTCGTGACACTCTGTACCGACTGATAGATGGCCTGGCGTCATCTGTGAAGAATTGTAAGTGGCACAAGTGTAAGCATGCACAGAGACGCGAGATATCGAACGTGGGTAGAGGATGGGATGGCGTAGAACACAAAGCGTAGGTAGAGCCATCATGCCTCACCACAGAATTCTTGCCAGCGCATCAAAGCATCCGGCAGCTTACAGCAGGGGGAAAGCAGCTCCGGGTCCAAGCAAAAGCTATGGTATGCACGATGGCGTAGAAAGCAAAATTATGTGACCACCGAAGGAATGGAGAAAAGGCCGAGGGAAGGCCAGACCACCAACCTTGAACGTCGGATGGAATATCGGGGTGGGGGCCTGTAGTACTGATGCCGACGGGCCAATGCAAGATAGCGGCAAGGCGCAAATGTCTGGGTGGTGATCTATCCACAAAACATCGCAGTCGCTGGTCGATGTTCGCGACTAGTCCTGAAGATTTGGGAGCAGCGAGCTTCCGAACAAGGATTGAAGGTTTCTTTCTCTTTTGCTGCAGTCAGAGTACGTCAAATCCAGGGCGGTATACCTCATTGGTCGCCCTCGTTGCCTTTTCGCGAATTGGGCCTTTGGGCAGCAAAAATTTTGGGGGTGAGGAACACGCATGAACTCGATCCACGTCTCGCGCTCAGCCCAATCGCCCCATGAAACAGAGTGGGCAGTGCGAGAGATTGGATATAAGTGGCTTCAGATGAGAGTAAACCTATCCTTCCAAGCGTGGAGGCTTGAAAATCGACAAAGGCTAAGTACTCCGTGCATGGGTATACTTAAAAAGCAGAGACGAATTCGGCCAGTGGATGGGAGCACAACAATTGTCAACAACCCCGGACCGCAATAAGTGTCGAGTCAAGCTGGGCAAACCAAGGAGGCACAATCCATAAGAGCGAGCAAGCAATGGTGAGCGCCGATGGTTGCGGCGTTGGGCCGTCAAGCGTGGCGAGGGTTGGGGAGATGTGGCACTGTACAGCAGTACTACCGAGTATCGTCTTTCGCAAAATATGGACGGTAATGGTTGGAGAGAGACGCAGAAGCAAGTGGATGCGACTTCACAAATTGGAAAGATGGGAGCGCAATGGTTAGCGCGGCGTTGACCAATCACAAAGGTGTGGCATCCGCCCAGCCACGAAGTCCAACTTCGGACTAGAACAACAACCAAGATCTCGAAGGTGCAATTTGTTTCGAAAGACCTGGTCCTCTAAAAATCCGGCCTTCTACGGCCAACAGCTTGAGTCAACCTATTGCCCGCGATGATGAACACATTGCTGGCCTTGATCAAGGGGTCGGGAAATGAGCGATATGCTTGCGTGTCTCTTTGTCCCGCATGCCTTGTACGTTCTGGATGTTGATCTTGAGACGTGCTCCCAAGCTGACCGCCAGATTATTTGCCCACATGCCTAGGTAGCTAATGTCCAGATATAGTGCGTTCTGTCATGGCCTGCCCATACGTCTTGCTGTACAATTATGTCCCTCGATGTACGTCGTCGCTACGAACGACGCCTCGGAGCCGAGACGTTTGCATCTCGTCTTCGCGGTGCATCTCATACCGCTGTGAACCTGTGTAACGCCACTGCAACGGGAAATGTCTTCCTGCGGCCCTTCAAGGCTAAGAAACGCCACCAAATATGATCTCAGATCATCCTTTCGTTCCTTTTGTCAAGAGCGGTGAGGCTCATGCCAGTGTCTTTCTATGCAATCATCCACCAGTGCCATCAGCCCCGTCGCCACGATCACATCTCCGAGATCATTTGAGATATCCTTCTCCGTGAGCCGCATGCTGCATGGTGGCACCCAACTCCCTTGCGACGCTTCCCGCCGAGCTTGCCTCAGCGACAATTTGTCCGGAGTGATATGAGCAATGCAATCCCCGGAGGACAAGTTGACCAGCTCAAAAGAGAAAACCAGCTCAGATTCATCACGATAGACGTTGCGTCTCCAGCTATACTTTTCACCCCAATACTCAAAGTCATACTTGGTTTCTCCCCTTTTGGCACAGTCTAATTGGACTTGAGCATAATTTGAGAACTCAATCTTGACGGAATCGGTCGGAATGGTAGCCTTGACATCAGCTTGGGTCGCAAGGAAGTTCAAATCATCGTCAGATTCTTCATCTTCTCCGAGCTCTTGAGGCGTCTTCGAGCGAGGCTTGCTCTTCAGTGTCTTGAGGCTCATCTTCGTCAAAGTCGAAATCAACGAGCGTCGTGTTGCTGGAGATGACCATGGCGCGGCGACGGGTTTCAGATACTTTCGCTTCGAGTTGCAGACTTCCCGACCCGATTGCCGCTGATATCGACGAAGCGAGAATTGGCGTTCAGCGAGGTCGTACATGCGCAGGTGGAAAAGAGTCAGCTTCACTTTGTGACCTCTGGATACCGTCAATTCGGTGTCGAGTCGGAGATTGAGGTTTCCGTCGTGAGTGGTGTCGTCATGTTGGATGAGAATTCTTTTTGTTGATGGAAAGAGCTCGCCGAATTCGGCCGGACCGGTAGCTAGAGCATCTGGCTCGTAGCAGATATGTCTCATCAACGGGCGCAGGCTCGGGGCTCTGGAGGTGTCAGACTCGGCTTCGGAAGCAACTGTGGAGGCGTATGTTTCGGTTGATGCTCGACGATCGTCTTGTTCACTACTCGAGTCCTCGGCCTCGTCGACGATTTCACGTTCCTCATATAGCTCGCAATGCTTGACAATGGCCTTTGTGTCGCTGTACGAAGTGAGGTTCGTATATTGGGTGTGGCTGGATTGTATGGAGCGGCTGGACCTGGTACTACTTCGATCGGATATGGTGCCTTCTGAAGTAGTGGAACCCTTTGACCAGGCCCGGGTAAGGGTGTGCCGGGTCATTGTATCAGAGTAATACAGGTTAACAACACGGTTGAGGGATGGGATTCGGACTTTGAGTGCAATATCCCTTGAGATCGGAAGGGAGTTTGATGTCTAGATAAAAGGAAGAGACCTTTTCAAATGGTTGCGCTGGTGAGGGTTGCCGCAGTGAACAAAGCCAGAGGTAGCAACACCAACGGCATATCACAAGCAAGCAGCACCATTGCAACCATTGGTGAAAGGCTGAGGAGCAAACAGAATCAAGCAACAAAATCACTCCACGACTAGCGATGAGGGGTGTGAACCTGTCCTAGCCGTTTCCCACGAGGAGGACAGGCGCCGATGCTGGCGCAGCAATAATCGTCCTCATCACTGAGGGACTTGTGACCCAAGGGTGCAAGTCCGACGGAGCGGGTGATGGCCGGGACCACCCGCAAAGGCCATTTGCTTCTGAAAGATGATGTGTGGGTGGTGACCTGAGAAGTCTTAGTGAGCCAGCCTAGCGACACGCTCGAGCTACCCTCCAATGGCCTAAAGGCTGCAACTGCTAGAATTCACCTTACGGGGACACAGTCGCCCATTTCATCGCACAAGGGTTGCAGAGGCGAGCAAGCATTATTCTCCGCGTTGTGGAGGCCAGCGGGAGATCAAACATCGAGTTGCGAGTGATGCCTATGGTGGCAAGAATTCGTTCTTGCAACACTAGGCACACATCGGACAGAGGGGCAGGATCGCATTTGGATCATGGTGGGACACAGGAGATACATCCGGTGGGATGGGAGACGGCAATGCGGCGTGTGAGTAGGCGAAGGCCCCGAAAGCCAACGTGTCCTCGGTCAGACACGGTTGCGAAGATCATGGGCAACAGTACAAGGGGTCTGCCGCTGCGGAAAGGAACTAGAAGCCCAGTCAGACCGATCGATTGCTTCTCCCCGTAAAACTGTGACTACGTAGCCGAGCTGGCATGCTCAGTCAGGTTCAACTATGGAGTAATCACGAGGTAAAGCACGAGAGAAAACTCTGACGGTCGGGTTTGGTGGGGCGGCTCTCGGTGGCTACGCCGCACAGAGACTAGTGCAATGTGCCTTAATTGAACCTATGCGAACACCCCGTTTCTTCGCTCCTTCTGTTTGACCCGAGTCGTATGTGGCATCACCTGATTGGTACTGACTGTTCCATTGTCACCTGTTGCTTCTTTTTCATACGCTGCTTCGGCTTGGGCATCATGGCAGTGGAGTTTCCTGAGCTGGCTGCATTTGAGCTTTCACTCAGAGGAACATGAACATGTGTTCACGACTAGATGCTGTACCTTGCGCTTCCGTATCACCTCAGACCTGTGAGAGGGAAACCTGCATTCCAGCTGCTGGGGCTGAAGCAACTGGTACACAGTACATATCGGACGGGACAATCCCACCCTTGGGCAGCCTTGTCTCGCTTCATTTTCAAACATTGGGTGCGCAGTTCGATGTCTCCAGGCGTGAGACCACCTCAACCACGACTGCCATTGTCAAGTTGAAGCACGTGTGCTTAACCTGGAATCTAACTCAGGCAATGCTATCATAACCGCTGGGTGAGACGCATTTTACCGCGGATCCGGCCTAAAAATCATGCAACCCGTGGTCGGCTTCCGAAACCTTACAAGAGGTCGCTTCGTGATCATCAACCACTAGCAACGGCTCGACCCGCCAAATGGGCAGCGAGCGATTTCTAGCCAGTTTCGCCAGTTGACTGTCGAGCCACCCATTGACGATGGCATTCGTCTGTTCCTGACTTTCAGGTCTGCGCATCGATGATCAGCCTCGGGAGCAGCTCAGAGCTCTTTGAAAATCAGCTCTAGTTCGATGCCGCATCCCGCCAACCTTGGCTCCGCGCTAAATCTGCACTCCGATGCAGGTTGTGTCTAGTGGTGGACTCCAACCCTCGCGTGGACTTCCAAACCGTGGGTCGGGCCTCGACCGGCTAATTTCGGGAGCGCCCACTCTCGCTTCTGCACGGTTCTGAATGTATCAAGGACTTTATGTCTAACGGCCGGTTGTGGCAGTCGAGGCTTGACAACAACGTCCACACTTGAGAGTCAAGGGCCAGAATAGATTACCTGCTGTCGGCTAGTGCAGAGTCGCGGCACTAGAACAATGCACCTGCAATAAGTGACGTAGCCCCGCTTATACAATAAGAGCTTCAATGGCGAGAGTCAATCAGCTTACTCTTCAACTGGACTGCCACAAAAAAATCGACCAGTCCAACACCCGCTAGCTGGTAGTTCCGGTTTCTTACGGACTGCCGATTGCCTATAGCTTGCATCTTGCGTGCGAAGTGTCTCAAACAAGACTTTTTTGCTTATGGCAGTACTGTCACTAGGCCAGCAGAGGACCACTTTTATCATTGACTGTTCACAACTCGATCTATTCGTTTGATATGCCAAATTACTGTGTATGGTCGGATGGTGCGCATCCATCTCCACAAGACCCTCAGCAATGTGCTCGAGGCGGTGTGAAACCCCAACATCTGCGTGGATCGCCGTGAAGCGAGTCGCTGAGGAACAGCACCGAGATACGCCTTGTGTACCGCCAAAGTTGTACGGCGACGATCTGAGAAACAAGCTGACGTGCCAACCACGGAGTTTCGCTCGCAATTGAACGGTCCAACTCCTACGAGTGCATCCCGAGTCCAATCAGCAGATTCTACCACCACCAGCCGAATTGAAGATCGTCGGGCCGGATCGCCGTCCCAACAACATCCTATCGATCTCTAGGTTCAGACCGAGTTCTTTACACCATTCCCCACAAAGGTCGGGGTAATTCAATCTCTCGACCAACCTCGATGCCTCGTCCGAGGAATCCTCTTGCACGACTGTCCACGCCGACATATGCGCGCCGCTTCTTCTCCTCACCCTCGACGTCATGGGTGACACTCCAAGTACGCAGTCCGTAGTAGTGGCCCACGCAGTGGACAAGCCAGCGAGCGAAAGCCGCCCCCTTGTCATTGTCCAGGCCTTCGAAGACCATCTTCTCGTTACTGATTGTGCCATCGTCATTCCAGCCAGCCCCGTCCTTCTCTTTCCTTCTAGCAACATCATGCATGGCACCACCCCTGCCGATGAAGACGATCTCCTCGTCCTCCTCACTATCGCTCGTCAAGGGCACATCATGAAGACCGTCTTTTCTTAGGCGGATTTCCCTTTCATTCCACCCGCGCACAAATGTCCTCACAGACTCTTCCAGATCTTGAAGCAGGCCTTTAGTGGCTTTGGCTCGCTTCAACCTGGCTCGCACCTCCTTGGGGATGCTTGTCGCTGCTTCTTCCATTGGACTCATGCCGGTGTTGTGGGCGTGCTTCCCATGCTTCCTCGTGCTACTCCTGCGGCCCTTGAGCTTGGACTCAACGGCGCGCTGGAATTCCGCGGCGTCCCATAGAGGAGCAAGGTAATAAGGCACGGTACGGCGTGGGTAGGTAGGACGGATCTCCCAGTCAGAAGCCAAGGGAGGAACCGCCCATGGGTTTGAGATCAGACGATCTGCCAAAGAGTCACATTAGTCTGATTGAAATCTAATCTCTGGGTATCTGCTGAGTACCATTCTCCCAGCGCCTGCGCTGCCGCGAGCCTTCCTTGCCCTTGAGCAAAGCTTCGCGGCGCTCCAGGCTGTCGCGGCGAAAAAGCTTCTGATCGGAGTAGAGTGTCCTCGGAGTGGCGTCAAGAGGGACCGTAATGCGCACTGAACTTCCGGCGATAGCAGTCCGGTGCATCATCGGCGGTGTCGTCGCCTGCTCAATCGATACCTTGCCCATCTGAGCAGCCACCTTGTCAGTGCCGTGGCTGGTCGGAGAGGTGGCAACGGTTGGAGTTGACATGATCGGGACGATGTGGGTGGCCATGTTGATGGTGATCGAGTCAGACGCCTGCTTATCGTGTGCAAGTTATTCGTGCAGTGGCAAAGGGAGTTGGCGATTCAGTAGAAGACCGAATCAAGCTCGCGAGCTCTATCAATCCAAAGACGAGATTAGACCTAGTCGAGAGTGAAATTGATGGATGAGAGAAGATACGGAGCTATCTATCACGGCTGCGATGGAGGCAAGCCGGCCGCCATCCCGTGAGATCGCGAAATTGGAGTCATTGTTCCCGCTTTCCAGCGAATTGGAGGCCAGCGCCAGCCATCGTGGAGGCGTCGAGTGAGTCAATCCGAATGCTGCAGGACGGAGCATCTATCATCTGGTTACGGCCTTGAGAGCAGAACAATGACTCGAGACTTCATTGCACGGCAAATGATTACGTCTACCCCGTACAGGTAAGAAAATCCAACCTGTGCATGTTATTGACGGCGCATAGACACCGATGAGAGATTACAAACACCTATTAGCCGAAGTGAGGCTCTTACAGTACGGAGAATCCGGAGTGCCTTTGAGTGTGGGGTTGACGTCGCCCAGGCTACCCTAAACCGTGTCTCAAGCCTCGCATGTTTAGTGTTACCTGCGATCTCCAATTGTATATCACTACTCGTGCTTGTTCAAATCCATACTGGCATTTCTTATATATCCCGTCGAATCATTTGTTACTAGCTTTAACTGTGTTCGCCATGAAATCGTTGTGCTTCTTGGCCACGTCGCTGGCGGCTACGGCTTGCGCTCGTTCACTCCACAACCCGATCCAACAGGCGATCACATTCGATGAGCAACAGCCCATCGACCAGGACAGATATTTGATCGAGCTCAGCCCGGGAGAGACAAGATGGGTCTCCGAAGACGACAAGTGGGAGCTATTGAGGGTAAGCCTACTCTTGTGCTGGAACGAAGTGGCTAATGCTGACTGCAACATGATAGAATGGCATCAAGTTCATGGATATCACCGAGAATGGTCACACTTACCCATACGTCGTTTCTGACCTCGCCTCAAGCACTGTCACCTACCCAAAGAAACCGCAGCATAATGAAACGGTCAGGTCATTGGCAAAGACGCTCGACAAGGACAACATGCGCAAGCACCTTGAAACATTCACATCCTTCCATACCCGCTACTTCAGGAGTCAGACTGGTATAGATGCGGCTCTGTGGTTGCACGACCAGATCAAAGATATTATGGAAGCATCAGGCGCGTTCAACTACAGCGCCTCGCTGAACTTGTTCCCTCATTCGTGGGGACAGTCCAGTATTATTGCCCGCTTTCCAGGCCAGACCAACCATACGGTTGTGATCGGTGCCCATCTGGATAGCATCAATATGTTCCTCCCTTTCCTGCGCGCTCCTGGTGCCGACGATGACGGCAGCGGCACCGTCACCATTCTCGAGGCCTTGACCGCTCTGGTTCAATCCCCAAAGATCGTGAACGGCTCGGCTGAAAACACGGTCGAGTTCCACTGGTATTCGGCCGAGGAAGGAGGTCTGCTGGGCAGTCAGGCGATTTTCAAGTCCTATCACGAGGAGGGCAGAGATATCAAGGCCATGATCCAACAGGACATGACCGGCTATGTTGAGCAGACCATTGCGCATGGGAAGCCCGAGTCAGTCGGCGTCATCACAGACTTTGTCGACCCAGCCCTCACCAAGTTTGTGGAGAGCATCATCACCACGTACTGCGATATTCCTTACACTCTTACAAAGTGCGGCTATGCCTGCTCCGACCACGCTTCAGCAAGCAAGTACGGCTATCCATCAGCTTTTGTGATCGAGTCGGACTTTGAGTATTCGGACAAGAAGATTCATACGTCGGACGACACCATCAAGTACTTGAGTTTCGACCACATGCTGCAACATGCTAAGATGACGCTTGGGTTCGCCTACGAGGCTGCAGTGGCCCAGTTTTAATGGGAGAGCAGACTGCAGGACGGTCTTTGTTTGTTGTGTACTTAAACAGCTGCGTCCCCTTACTGGATAATCTCAAAAACGAGGACAAGGTCTTTTCTAAGCACGGTATTCAATGATTTACCACCAGTACGAGTACACCCTCACTTCTCTCTTGACCTCGACTCGCAGAATGTGAAACGCAGCGTAGATCGGTGACGTCACTCCCCCACACATGTGTGCAGCTCTCGGAGCTCTCCATGCATTTGATCATTGTGAATGGATGATTTGGTTTCCGAGTTGCAACTGTGCTCCAATTCTCCTCAATTCAGGTTCCTTGCCTGCCAGAGCACTCGATCACGAGGACGCTTGGGTGGAAACAGGGCCTGCGATGTTGCATTCCCTAGCGCAGTAACTTCCATCTTGCATTTGGTGCCTTCAACCCTGAGTTCCTTTTGAGCCTCAACTCTGTTCAGTCCACATCTCGACCTCCATCACGAACCTCCAAGCAGAGCCACGAAATACCGCAGCCCGCTGCCGAAGACTTGAAGATGGCACTGACAGACTGTACGCTACCTTCCGACACTCGAGCACTGTCAGACAACATGGAGCTAACACTTTCTTGCAGACAACCCTTTCACCAAACGGGAGGAATTCACCCAGAGAAACCTGCTAGCCTACAAGATCCTCACCATCGTCTCCTGGCTCGTGCTGGTCATCTTCGGTGCCATCTACACGTTTCAAAAACCGACCGACTGCTCGAAGCACCAGCACTGTCACACGATATGGGGACAGAACAATCATAATCCGAGCGGCTTCAGCGTCAACTCGGTGCTGACGAGCATATACTGGGTGGTTGTCCTGATTTTCCAGGCTCATTATGTCCGTTTCCTGTGGAGCGCAGAGAAGGACTATGTCACAAGCGCCGCAAATGTCGGCTCGCATTTCATCTTGGTATGCTTCCTCGAACTTGAACTGAACGTGCTGAGGCTGATGTCTTGGTGCAGCATAACCTCTTGACGTTCGGCTTCATCATGCTCTGGGTGCGAGGCTACTTTTGGCAGGGTGAGCTGCTTCTGATCGTCAACCTTTTCAACCTGACAGCTCTCTACTTCGGTCACTCCGCTACTCCATTAATCATCCATGCCCCGATCGTCTCGGCACCCTTGGCCTGGAATTACGTGGCGATCCTCTGGAATGGAGCCGCAATGGTGGGACATGACAGAACCCATCTGCCTGCCCGTATCGTTGCAAACATTTTCATTTGGGGAATCCTCATGTTGGGTGCCTTCTTCCTTGCGGTCTTCAAAGACTACACGATGGGACTTGAACTGGCCCTTCTCGCATTGTGTAAGTGTTCGTGTACCCGCCTCTGTGTGATGATTTATTAACGAATGCCCGATAGCACTTGCACTGGGTCAGCTGGCCACGAAAGTCGTCGCTTTTCAGTGGATATTTGCGTTCGTTATCGCCGCAATCCTGTTCGTCCTCTCCCTTGGAGTTGCAGCTCCAAAGCTATTTGGAGCAGACCGCAGCGCGCGACACGAGGGCGCTATCGTCAGCGAAGACCGAGAACGAGCTCCACTTCTGGACGATCGTCAATAGCGGATCCGCTGTGGATCCCCACTGGTCACGGACCAGCTCATCATCTTGTCAACTTCCATCAGCATTTCCAACAGCATGGTCGTTGCATTCGGCTTGAGAAATGGCGTTGATTACGTCGTCAACTTTTTCCCTTTTTTTCCAATGTCTGTACTCCAGATCAGGCGAAGAAGAGGGTTAATTTGTTGCTGCATGGGTTGTATTGGCTGCATCTGAACCGGAGTCGATGCTGGGTTTGGGGGTAGGCGACAGCCTTGCGAGCATTAATATTCACGCTTCGCTTTCCGCTGGTTCGTCGGTAACACAGGTGCATGCCACTTATTACGAAAGAGGGTGCTACGTTTGCTTTAGCCGGCACGACACCCAGCAGAATTTACCTTGTCTTGTGTTCCCTTGGTTCGCGTCCCAGGACCATGGTTGCGTGCGTGGGGCGATGGTTGCCTGCTGCATCTTTTCCCTCCATTTTTTCTTCACAAGCCGACTAAGAATTAATGACAAAGAAAAGTACCTGGTAGCCTGCCAGCCTCACGGCCAATAGTGTCGTTGTATTTGTGGCTGGCTGGACGTGCGCCTCGTTTGTATTACATTCGCGGTTTCTGGCACGCCGCCCCTCCATACAACCTGGACTGCACCTTCTGTGGCCGTAGCTGCCGCGGGACAGTGAACACATGAACCTCAAACATCTGCTTTGTTTCGCCTTCAGATTCAGGTCGTCGTCGTCGTCGTCTTTCAACATGGCGAAGGACAAAGATGACCCAGACTTGTCGCCGACACCTGCAGCCTTAGGCGGCAGTGGCAGCCACCAGAAAACAAGTCCGTCTCCAGACACCCACGCGCCTGAGACGGCGTCTGCTGAGAAACCAGTCCTGCCAAAATCCAACGTCGACAAGCCAGTGGCCGTGCCTGGGAGTGACAACCATCCAGGGCCGCAAGACAAACCTTCGCCATCATCTTCTGACGCGAACACGCCAAACACGTTATCATCTGAAGAACATCCCAAGACACAGCCTTACAGCGACTTCGAGACCTCTTCCGAACCTGAAGAATCATTGATCCCGTCGACCAAACGCAAGAAGCAAACGCCCTGGACGATGATTCCGGAACCAGATCCTGGAGAACTCCACCCAGACCTTGACCTCACTGACCCAAACACGGTGACCCGTCTCCTTGCTCTGCTTCTGAACGGCTGGGTCCTATCTCGCGGTCGCGGTCCCAGAAACCATGACACCTGCCTTTGGTGTCGTGGAGCCATCGACTCCGACGTCGACATCCTCACCCACGTCGGCACGGACAGCGGGTCCAAGTGTAGGAACTCTTGGCCGGCAACCTGCCTCATGGACTGGACCCGGCAAGAGCTTGACACGGCGAACAGCCACAGGCTGAAGTGTCCCATGTGCTCGACGGAATTCTGCAACTCTGGGACGAAATCCGCGCACGATTTCAAGGTCAACCAAGGCAAAGCAGACGCTGAAAGTGTACTGGACGCAGCCTGGTTGAGAGTTGTCCTGTTCAGTCCTCTGTTTGCACGAGAAGCCGCTCTCAAAGAAGGAAAGCACCTCATCTTTGTGAAAGGGGCAGAAGCCAAGAAACTGATCCTCTTGGGCCAAAACAAGGTTATATTTTACCAATGCGAAGGTCTTCTCGATCCCGTCGAGTCGGAGAATAAGAGACGGTGGCTCAAGAGGCAATATGGTGACAACCTTCCCTGGAACGTCGAGAAATTGACGGAAATGGGAATTGCTCAGTCAGAAGCCACGGCAATCATGCACGCCTACACTCAGAGCGCTGCCAGCCCTGCCCATGACTCCCTGGAGCTGCAACCTCGGTTTGACACGACTTGGGTCATTATAGACCGCGGGAACAACCAGTTCATCATGTCGCCCTTCCTGACCCAGCAAGCTCACAATGTGATCCGTCTCCCGGTTCAGCTTGGAAGCGGCGTCATCAACGACATGACCGCGGCAGAGTTTAACGACCACGCAAAGAAGAACGGCGGTCTGCTGGCGGCCATCAAGGGGTTCGACGCGACCAAGGACGAGGACTTTAAGCGGCATAGAATGCTTGCGGAGGGGTGGATCCAACACTTGCTTGCTAAGAACAAGCGGGACGGAATCGCCGGGCCCAAGTATGAATTCTGGAAGCGGGTCAAGGACGCCCATGATGTCAATCTTGATTTCAGTCTAGCCGCGGGGGAGAAGGGCGAAGGGGATAACGACGATGAGTGGGAGGATGATGATGAGGTTGCCGATGACGATGACAACGAGTAAGTGAGGTCGGTTACAAAGAGTAGATGAGGTCAATTTCAAATGGTCTTCCAGTCTTGATGGATCTTGGAGTTGGAGTGGAACAAAAAGGGACTCGTAGAGAGCAGGGTAGGGTCAGTGAAGCGATACAATTCATCTTCAAAGTCCGCACCAAGCAAACAACCTCATACTAATTACTGTTGATGACTAAAGCGCCAATGAATGAGCGACATGTCTTCCACCGCCGTGAATAGCTTTGGAACTCTCAGACTCCTTGTATTCTATATTAACCAACCGTCGCGTGGGATTGGGTTTCATCAACGTCCAGTACAATGCCCTGAATTCCACGCATCTGCATCTGCATCGGTATATTTGTTCATGACCGTGACGCCGACGGATAGGACTCATACCATATCTCACCATAGCATCCCATAGCAATCCACACTCTTCTGTAGCATACCGTACCAGAGCATACCATCCCATAGCATCCCATAGCATCCCATAGCATCCCATAGCATCCCATAGCATCCCA